ATTTTTTATAAATGTTTTGTTTATAAAAAACAAATTACACGATACTGTTTCCTTTCCCGATTTTAACAAATTATTAATAAAGTTTTCAAACACTGTTTTGAAACACCCCCTACAGGTTGTTGAGAAGAAGGCTTACAGTTGATGATGACAATCTTCACCATTGTCGCAGAGAAGAAAGGAAGCGGCTCCAGAGGAACTTTGACGAGAACGGCCGTGACCACGAAGACAAACATAATGATGAGCAGGCTCCCCAGGACACGCAGTCTCTGAGAAATACTGAAAGAAGGACAGAAAGACTCTTGAGGTCCATCTGAGAGGACGTGTCTGTTTGTTGCAACCAGCAGGTACAAAAACTAACTTGTTTTTATTTGACTATTTTTCTGTCCTGCCTGTTTATTATCTTCCTGCATCTCCTCTCAATCCTAAAGAGAAACTGCTACCTGGGTTCATATATATTCACCTCATGAGTTACCTTTGAACTGCAGTTCTAAAAGATCTACCGACCGCTAAAACAGCGGAGTGCTCGCTGCTTGGCGGCCGCATCAGTGATCGGTGCGTCACCGGAGGACAAGGTGATGCGCCCCGCTCCACAGCAGCGAAAAACATCAGGCGCAAAAAAAGACAGAAAACATTAAAGGAAATGAGCCGACATGAACGATCGCGTGTCAGTACCGACGCTCTGGCAGAGCGCGTTGCCCCCCCCCGAGTGCAGGAGCTTGTCACCTGCTGACAGCAGGCTGCTGTCTTTTCCGAGGACTGCATCTTGCCGGTCATTATCACGTGACAGCGACTAGTCGATGACAGGCATAAAAAGTCTCTATAGTGAAGTCGACTAGTTCATACAACCCCTACTGCTCCCCAGAGTGTTCTGCAGCATAATCAGCACGTTCTCTTTGAACTTGATCAAATTTTCGCCTCCTCTTCGTCTCCGCACGGTTAAAGTTACTCTCGCGGTCTATCACTGGCAAATCAAAAGTGAGACGATGACGCAACCGCCCCCCGTACTTGCTTGTTACCACATTCCACCCGGCCACAATCAAAGACCGGCCATTATTCACCTCCGCCGACTCCGACACCGGCCAAAATATGATACCCGGCCGTTAATTGAACACAGGCCAATATTAGAGGATTTACGGTATACATATATATATATATATATATATATATATATATATATATATATATATATATATATATACGTATATATATATATATGTATATATATATATATATATGTATATAAATACATATATGTATGTTTATATATATATATATTTGTGTGTGTGTGTACATATATATATATGATATATATACATATATATGTATTTATATACATATATATGTATATAAATACATATATGTATTTATATACATATATGTATATAAATACATATATGTATATGTATATGTATTTATATCATATATCATATATATATGTACACACACACATATATATATATATATATATATATATATATATATATATATATATATATATATATATATATATATATATATATATATATATATAGCCATGCCCTGATGTGGGGCTGGGTGGTGCGTCAACATGGTCGGGGACATAGAAGGGGGTGCGCGGCTAAAGAAGTTTGGGAACCGCTGGACTAGAGAAACCACTAAAACATGCTGGATACTGGCCCTCGAGGCCCAGAATTGAACAGCCCTGACTTAGAGTGTCTTGAAAAGTACGTTATAAAACAACACATTGAATAAAAGATGACATCTCGAAAATGCCAGAGGTAATATTTTATCACATATGTTGCCTATTGTTCCTCTGGAAGGTGAAGAGTAGTGTGATGCAGGTCCTTAAACCTAAAGCAGACACCTTATTGTCACCTGATTCATTTATTAAATGAGTTCAATGAACTTTTCTTTGTTGGTCGTTGGTTTTTGTTTTGTTAGGACTTACAGAGAGTACAGGAAGGAGTTGAGGCAGGTACAGACCAGCAGAGGCAACATGGCACAAAGCGTCATCACATTGTTGAACTTGGCCTCCAGAACACTGCGGTGCTCTTCTCCTTCCCTTGTTTCATTTGCTGAAATCTCAGTAGACACAGAGTCCTTCAGACGGCTCGTAAAGTACTGCAGAGACAGAACCAAGCATCAGCTTAACTTTTCGCTGCTTTTAAAATGAAAGTTAACGTAAAACCCGTTGTGATAGTCTGAGGGAAATCGTTTTGTTGTTGCACCTTGGTGGCGGTCATGAAGAAGTTCCATGGCAGCAGCGTTCCCAGGCCCAGCATGAAGAAGACAATCCACACGGCAAAATACCTACGAGACATTTTCTGAATGTATTTGTGTTCTGTGTTGGAGGGACTGACTCTGCGATGTAGGGCTGCACAGTATTAGGAAAACCGGCGATATTCGATAACAGTGATTAATATTGCAATGACGATATTACTTGCGATTAATAAAAACTTAACTCATGAACAAAAATAATCAAAACAAAAATTAAAAAATCATAAAAATGAGAAAAGTGAAAGATGTGATGAAAGGGAAAAATAAAATGAACAAGAAAAGGCGATCAGTGGATCCCGGGAAAAGCAGAATCAGCAGAAAGAGCAGAACAAAGCTAACTCCGGTGTTTGCAAACCATCTAAATGAAGTACCGTCCGCCTCGGGGGCGGGCATCTAACCTATGAGAACCCACCTGATTGGCCAAATGGGTGAAGAGCTCTGTTTGATTTGTTAAACATACATCATGCTTCCGTTTGACTAACAGAATGCATCATGTGTGGCAAACATTTGAGCTGACCGTTCATTGCTATATTTATCTGTTCTTTGCGATAAGCATATTGTGCATGCTGATATTGCGATAACGATATATTGTGCATGCTGATATCGCGATAACGATATACTGTGCATGCTGATATCGCGATAACGATATATTGTGCATGCTGATATCGCGATAACGATATATTTACGATATATTGTGCATGCTGATATCGCGATAACGATATATTTACGATATATTGTGCATGCTGATATCGCGATAACGATATATTTACGATATATTGTGCATGCTGATATCGCGATAACAATATATTTATGATATATTGTGCAGCCCTACTGTGATGTCAGTAGTAGACACATGAGTAAGTCATAGATTTTCTGTTTATTTTGAAGCTGCGTGGGGGCTCACCCCCAGCCGCAGATGTCATGTTAAAAAGTTAAATATTCCACATCCTGCAGGTTTCTTTTAAGTGTTTGCTTTAAAATGTTTAAGTTTAGAACGTCTGAAAATAATGTTGCATTGATTGATTCATCTATGAAATGTCTTTTAACTTACTTGTCTTTTGGAGAACTGACGGCCATCCCACCTCCCCCCCTAGAAACCAATCAGCTGGAGAAATCCACGAGAACCAGAGGAAGGAGAACCTGGCGTGTCAGAGGAGAAACAGTGTCTGAAACAGCGGTTGTGACTAAAGCAAGAATAAGAGTCGAGTTTCTAAGTGGTGAAATCATTAATATTATAATAAACACAAATGGAAACATAAATGATGATGCTCAGTAACTGCAGGTGGATTTCAGCTGTAAGAAAATAAATCTACACCCACAAACGTCGTTTATAACCCAGAAACCAGCATTGCTCGTCTAGTCCTTCTGTAGGTGATGATGAAGAAAGAGGCTTGATGACATCTCAGCAGGAATACTGGGGTATTGAAACACGATCCAGAGGAGATTGCCCTTCTCACTCACTTGTTGGTGACTGTTTACATAATTCTGAGTCAGAAACTTGTTGGCTCCTGTGTGATTTTGCTGTTTGAGTTCTCTTTTGTCTCCCGGGTTTCATTTGGTCATGAAAGGCCTTCAATCACCCTTCCAAGCTCTGGTTTACGGTTGGCTCCATATTTCAACCCTGACAACTATGACAGTCTCCTGTCTGACCAGAAGAGGGCAGCACTGAGTAAACAACAGGGGGATTCAATTAAATTATTTATTGGGCCAAACGGTCATGAGGCTTTTGCCAGGGGACTGCTCGTTTCCATGTGCTCCATCACTTGAAATGTACCATTGTCTTTTCTTTTTAGTCATAAGGGGCTCGACACACGGGAGGCGACAAACGACCACGATCAGCGAAATTTGTCGCTGTCGCTTTTATTACCGGACACACGGGAGGCGACCCGCGGCCAGCGGCAAAGCCGTCGACGCGTTCTGTTCCATGGCGAAATCTAAACTTCCGTTGTTTTGATTGGCTGTGTCAGGTTGGAGGGAATTAAGGTTATTTAAGCGGTTCAGAGTTAATAAAGCGGTAGATATGATGTTTCACAAGGTGCTGCTAGAGTTATGTGAAATCTTACTTCTGATTTTACTATAAAACATAATAATAATCAACTTCTCCTCCATGTTTGCTCGGAGGTGTACGGAGTATCCTGTCCGCTCATTGGTCAGTGAACGAAACCTCCGCTGATTTGTCCTCGTCCGAGCGACGGCGATGAAAAGTTGAAAATATTTCACCTTTCTGGGATCGCGTCGCTGGGTCGCCTGTGCATGACACGTGCACGAGCGCTAAATTTCACACGCACGTTTTTCGCGTTTCGCTTAGTAGGAGGGAGACCCGCGATTATCGCTTTGTCGCGCATGTCTCATTGAAAACAAATGAAGGAGAGGCGATGTCGCCTCCCGTGTGTCGAGCCCAGTATGCATGAACTTCAGAGAGATGTTGTAGCTTTGCAAGTGAAAATCACACCACTTCACTGGTAGCTTAGAGTTTGTTGTCCCTGAGTCTGGTGGATATTCCTCATCAAAGTTGGCGTGAGTCGTCTTGAAATACCTCCGTACGTTGTATTCTCTGAGCAGTGATGAACAAGGCACTTGGGTTTTCCACCAGCTTTTTATATAGTGATCGGAGGAGCGATGCTAGCTCCCGACAGGGGCATTCTGTCGTTGTGTCCTTGGGCAAGACACTTCGCCCGACTTGCCTGTGTTGGTGGTGGTCAGAGGGGCAGATGGCGCAAATGGCAGCCTTGCCTCTGTCAGACCACCCCGGGGAGGCTGTGGCTACATAGCCGCTAACCGCCACCGGGAGTGTGTGAACGTGAAAGTGAATGAAATAATGGAAAGTGCTTTGGGTGACTAGAAATGCGCTTTAAAATCCAGCCCATTATTATTATTATTATTATTATTACTACTATCATTCCAGTCATCACTGAATGTTCTATTTTAGCTGTCCAACTCACGTCTCTTCTCTTTTTGGATGCGACTTGTTTTCCCAACAAACTGCTGTTGTAAACTTTCCACCAGCCTAAACGGTGGAGCTCCACACCTTCAAATGTGAACTATCATGTTTACAGTTAAGTCGCAGCTATTAAACAAATAATTTAAGAGGTATGTGGGCAATGGGCCCGACCAAAATAACTGACGGGCAGTGTTGGGCAAGCTACTTCCAAACTGTAATGCATTATTTATTACTTGTTACCCTCATTTTAAAGTAATTCATTACATTACAATATTACTGATTTTAAAATGTAAGGCATTACACTACTTTTGCATTACTTTAAGTTACTTTCACCAATACAACTTCAGTATGAATCTGGTCATGTGACGCTCAGTGAGCTCATGACATATATGTGGAAGGTGATGTGGTGTCTGAGCTAGGATTGCTGTTAAAATCAGTCAGATATAATAACAGTGCTTTAAAATGATTGTTTATTAAATAAAAGCAACAACAATCTGTACTCTCAGCACGCTGCCATCTTAGATTACCTGAGCAGGGAGTGAGGTGGTGGGGGCTCCAAGCCTATATTTGCCTTGGTCCCCAAATGCCTTGATACGGCCCTGGATGTGGGACTGACTTCTGGGGTGATCTGATTCTATCACATGTATGGATATTAAATGCTTATATATTATTGCTTTTCACTGGTAAACATGTGTATTGGGGATAAATGTACCTACTTTTTTCTTTTCAAGCACTTTGTTTTGTTTTCTTGATTTTATTTGAATAATTTCCAGCCCTTTCTCTCTCTGACCTTCCTGCATGCTGCATGTTTTCTCCGTCTTCCAGAAAAACTGTTTCCTAGACTTCCTACTTTCTAACTAATCAGCCAAAGGGATCTACCGAATGCAACAACAAACAAACAAAAAGCTTAATCTGCGCTGTGCTCCAGCAGCAATGAGTTGAAATCACCGGGGCACAGATTATGAATCAGCTGAAAAGTACATGAAGTACCAGAGAATATGGGCTGATATAAACGATCGCAAACGAATGACTTTGTTTTGGTGGAGCGGTTTTGTGAATATAACAGCGGCCGCGCGCAGGACGCAGCTGGAGTATTTGAGCCGTTACCGCGGCGTCCTCTCTGCTCAGAGAATGCACGCAAAGCTGAGTCCATAAATGACGTCATATATGTAGATACTGGATCTTTTTTCAGGCTTCCTGCAATTTGAATTTTTAGGAAACCCACGTCTTGATTCTGGGTTTAAAAATGCGTTGTAATTACCGCGTTACTGACAACTGTACCGAGTAAATATTACCGTTTTCTTTCCCTGTAATGCCTTACATTACCACATTACAGCAAAAAGCAATGCATTACAGTAATTAATTACTTTTGTACCGCGTTACTGACAACTGTACCGAGTAAATATTACCGTTTTCTTTCCCTGTAATGTCTTACATTACCACATTACAGCAAAAAGCAATGCATTACAGTAATTAATTACTTTTGTACCGCGTTACTGACAACTGTACCGAGTAAATATTACCGTTTTCTTTCCCTGTAATGCCTTACATTACCACATTACAGCAAAAAGCAATGCATTACAGTAATTTATTACTTTTGTACCGCGTTACTCCCAACACTGGTGACGGGCCAGTTCTGGCCCTTGGGCCGCCTGTTGAGTAGGGCTGCTATAGAACACAGAGCTACCAGCGGTGCCCTAAAGTGAACTAGATGTGGTCAGACGTCCAAAATAAAAGAAACAAAAGGAAAAGTTACTTCATCCAAAGAGCCGTGGCTAAACTAACTGCAGCACATTTCCCCATCCACCAAGCAAATCTCTGCTGTTCTCCGGTGTCCAGCAACGCTTGGAAGAAATGGTTGATCAAACAGAAATAGAACTAATCAAATCTCACCTTCAGCTTTGAATGGAGGCAGTCTTCAGGCGGTGTTAGCTCAGCAGACAGGTTTCAGCCAGTTTTAGTAACTTAGCAAATTCTATATAAAGTGTTGCTTGTCTCTCCAGATCATGAATTCGGTCTTCCTGCGGGTCACTTCCCTGCTCGGAGATCTTCCTCATGTTGCTCTGCAGCCTCAGCAGAATCAGTTCTTCCTCTGCTGTGACCTTTCACCTGTGATATCAGTTTGTTCTCTGGACTTTGTTTCTGCATAAATAACAGTGATGCGATAACAGGACATCGTCATGCTGTCACCCACCGGAAACTTCATCAATATTTGATGACTTTTTTGTTCAGGCTGGCTGAGGGGACCATCTTTTCAAATTTGGATTGATATATTTTGACACGAGAGGGAGATTTGCAGGCAAAATCCCTAAAAAACAGGAACGACACATCAAACGTTACAGATTAGAATAATAAAAGTTTGTGTCATACAAGGTTTGGGGAACGGGAGGCGACACGTGCCATCAGATCTTTCACTTCCCTTTATTTGTCAGCTTTTATCCAGTTTTGTTGTGTTTGGCCTTCCAAACAGTCGCGTGATGTTTCTATTGTGATGTTTCTATTGTGAGCTTTTGTTTTACCTTTTAATTTCTTAGTTTGTATGGTTGCATTTCGGCCCTGTAACCAGCCGGTTTGAGCTGCAGGGAAGCTAATGTGCTTACATTTGCAATCATTTGAATGACTAATTTATTTGCATTACATTTCTTCTACATGTTATGTGTTTTCTTTTATTATGTTATGTATGGGATGAGAATCAGCTCCTCTAAATCTGAGACCATGGTCTTGATTCGGAAAAGGGTAGAATGCCTTCTCCGGGTCAGGGATGAGGGCCTGCCCCAAGTGGAGGAGTTCAAGTATCTCGGGGTCTTGTTCACGAGTGAGGGAAAACTGGAGCGTGAGATCGATAGGCGGATTGGTGCTGCATCTGCAGTGATGCGGGCGTTGTACCGGTCTGTCGTGGTGAAGAGAGAGCTGAGTCAGAAGGCGAAGCTCTCGATTTACCGGTCGATCTACGTTCCTACCCTCACCTATGGTCAGGAGCTTTGGGTAGTGACCGAAAGAACGAGATCACGGATACAAGCGGCCGAAATGAGTTTTCTCCGCAGGGCGGCTGGGCTCTCCCTTAGAGATAGGGTGAGAAGCTCGGTCATCTGGGAGGGGCTCAGAGTAGACCCGCTGCTTCTCCACATCGAGAGGAGCCAATTGAGGTGGCTCGGGCATCTGGTCAGGATGCCTCCTGGACGCCTCCCTGGTGAGGTTTTCCGGGCACGTCCAACCGGGAGGAGACCTAAAGGTAGACCCAGGACACGGTGGAGGGACTATGTCTCTCACCTGGCCAGGGAACGCCTCGGGATTCCCCCGGAGGAGCTGGCCCAAGCGGCTGGGGAGAGGGAAGTCTGGGCCTCTCGCCTTAGGCTGCTGCCCCCGCGACCCAACTCCGGATAAGTGGATGAAGATGGATGGATGGAATGAAAATGGATGTTATGTATTTATTTATGCCCCATTTTATCTGCTTTGTTGTAATCCAATGTTTTTGTTTAAAAAAACATCATGTTTTGTTTTCTCATTTAGCACAAAATAGAGTGAGTGACATTAGTGATATTTATTTTAAAGCACACCTGTAGTGTTAAGGATTGCTACTTATTTAATAAATGATCAATAAGATGTGATGTTCCATATAAACATGAAATATCAATCTGATTGATCGTTGAATGTTTAATCAGAAGACTTTAGTTTCTTTGACTATTCAGGGAACACACACCAACACACACACACACACACTTCATATTAATCCAGACAGAGTCAAGAAAATCGTAATTATTTTAATTCTATTTTCCTAAACTAAATGATTGTACATGACAAGGTATGGATGACATGATGGAATGTGAGCTAGATGTTTTAGCTAAACCTTTCTGAAGTACCGGAGAGAGTTTGTAGTGTCTGGGTTATAAAATAAATTTGGCTGTATGGTTTGATAAGCTGACTGCGCAGTGGAGCAGTGGTTAGAGCTGTTGCCTTGTAGCGAGATGTCCTGGGTTCGATTCCCGGCCTGGGATCTTTCTGCATGGAGTTTGGATGTTCTCCCTGTGCATGCGTGGGTTCTCTCCGGGTTCTCCGGCTTCCTCCCACCGTCCAAAAACATGACTGTTAGGTTGATTGGTCTGTCTAAATTGTCCTTAGGTGTGTGTGTGTGCATGATTGTTTGTCCTGCGATGGACTGGCTCTCTGTCCAGGGTGTACCCCGCCTGACTGCTCGTTGACCGCTGGAGATAGGCACCAGCCCCCCCCCAACCCTACATGGACAAGCGGGTTCAGAAAATGGATGGTGGATGGATTGACAGACAGATGGTTAGATGGTTTGATAAGCAAAACTTTAGTTATGAAACCATCCGACGCCGGTGTGCAGAGTCTACGACACCCTCACGTGACTGTTGCTCTCAGCGGTCTGGAGGAAAGGCAGCCCGAGTGGTGAGTTCACCCGACGTCGTGACCACGAAAACCCAAAGAGTCGTTGCTCCTTTTGAATTCAGCTTTCACCGGCCGTGAGATGCAACCAGGGTCTGCAGGTTAGATGTCCGTCTAAGGCTGTTCGGTGGCTCTTAAAAGAGCCGCTGTGTCTGAAATCACTCGCAAGCGTTGCAGAGAGGCTTTGACCTTTGGGTCAAAAGAGAGGATGGTTCCAAACGCTTGCTCACCGGTCGGCTGAACCCGGAGGCAGCGGGAGAACCGGCTAGACCAGTAAGTGTTCTAGCCTCTATTAACTTTATTGTTGATAAACTTAGACGAATCAGAATTTGACAATTTTAAAGGGTGTTAACAAAGACCTTAGAAAGTCACTTCTTCACGCAGATACTCAGAGAGGTTAACTCTTAGTGTGAAGAGAATGTTAAAAGGTTAATTCAACAATTACGACAAGGTGTGAACATACATCAAAAACACGGATCTGCTGTAGTTTAAGATCTGAAATGAATCGTTGCAGGAAAAATATTCATTTTAACACATCATTGATTATTGCACAGGTTATTCAATCACTTTGGGATCTTGTTCATTTACAGAATATGATCATGTGGAGTTTCAGAGTAATTTGTCAGCCAGGGAAGATAAACTCTACTCAGAGTAAAAGTCAGGCTTTCTGCATGACTTTAGTTCCAGCCAAGATAAGGGAGCTAGGCTTATTATGGCTCCTTTAGACGGCGACAAGGCCATTGTGCAGTGCTTTTCTTGTTGGGAGGCCAGACAGGTGAGATGTTTGTGTCTGCAAATGAAAAAGTCAATTTCTGTTCATTTTGATGAAAAACTTGGCCTTTGGTACATTTCACTACAAATAGAACAGGCAAGACTAGTTTAAACCACTAGTGAGTAAAATAATTAGACTGATTATGTCCTTTACAATGTAGTATACATCAAAATTATATAACCAAATAAACAAGATGTAACAAAGTTCAATAAAATGGCTGGAGGTGGTAAATGGCTTTTATTTACTAACCCTAACCCCACAACAACACTTAACAACATGAATATCAACACGAAGCAGGAGAACACAGAGAGGAAGCTGTCTGGAAAACATTATTTGTTCAACCTGGCGGGCAGAAGGAGGCTCTGTTCTTCATTTTTTCTTTCACTTCCATGTCTCACCTATCCCCTCTTCCCTTCCTGTCTCTTTGGTGTACAGGTGAGGAAAAGCCAGGGGCGTGTCCAGGGAGTGGCCTGGGGTAGCACATGCCACCCTTGAAATCGGATTGGCCACCCCACTGAGTTCCATTTAAATTGACTTTACATCGTCCAGAAAAGGCTTAGGATTATAAACCCCAAACAGTAGGTGGCAGCATACACCCTTAACAACACTTTACAGCCCCGGACCACAGAACATTTCTGTATTTTTATTATTGATTATTCATATTGACATAAATAGTATTTATGTTTATGTATTTGGCAGACGCTTTTGTCCAAAGCGACTTACAAGTGATAATCGGCATGTTGCCCTTGAGGCTAACAACAACAATAACAACAGCAATAACTTGACATCAGTCATGGAGGGGTGAGAATGAGGAGTGGACAGTAGAGAGGGGGACGGGTGCAGGGAGGGTGCTAGTTTAGAAGATGCTCTCTGAAGAGCAGGGTCTTCAGGAGTTTCTTGAAAATTGAAAAGGAAGCCGCTGTTCTGGTAGTGCTTGGTAGGTCATTCCACATTTGTGGAACGATGCATGAGAAGAGTCTGGATTGTCCTGAGCGTGGTGTAGGCACCGCTAGCCGACGATCCTGTGATGACCGGAGCGGCCGGGCCGAGACGTAAGCCTTTGCAAGAGGATTCAGGTAGATGGGAGCCGTACCGTCTCGGACTTTGTTTGCTAGTGTTAGCAATTTGAATTTGATGCGTGCTGCTAGCGGTAGCCAGTGGAGCTCAATGAACAGAGGGGTGACGTGTGCTCTTTGTGGCTGACTGAAGACCAGACGCGCCGCTGCGTTCTGGACCATTTGAAGAGGTCTCACAGTACAGCCTGGAAGACCAGTTAGAAGGGCGTTGCAGTAATGGAGGCGGAAGATGACAGTAGATTGCACCAGGAGCTGGGTGGCATGTTGTGTTAGGTATGGTCTGATCTTTCGTATGTTATACAGCGCAAAGCGGCATGAACGAGCAACAGAGGTAACATGATCTTTAAAGGTCAGGTGTTCATCAATCACAACACCCAGATTTCAAACTGCCTTTGAAGGAGCCTATTTAGAATCCTGATCCCAGTCCCACTCCACTCCATTTCACTAGAATGAAAAAAATAATTATCTTGTGAGGGATGACCATAGGTCCCACGCATTTATAGACAAGTGCCCCACATGGGCCACCCCATTTTAAAAGGCCTGGACACACCACTGGTAAAAGCAGAGCAGAAGAACCGGTGTTGCATGAAGATAAGAACATTAACAAGTCCCCAGCCACCACTTCACCCTGAACTATAGAGCTGATATCTGGAGCTCTACAGATATGTAGTTAAGGCAAAGTTGAAATATGACTAGCAGTTTAAAGTCCAAGTTGCTGATTTCACAACCTGAAGAAGGTTTTATTATTATAATACAATACAATATGATCATGTATCACATTATTTATATGTTTTGTACTTGAATCAAAAATTCTGAATGAATCACTCTAACAATAATCCTGATCCTGACCACAAGAGTCTCACAGTTCGATTCTTTTCAATTCATTTTACAGCTTCAAGTCTCACTTCAAGATAAAAGGTTAATTAATACTAATAAATCTTAAATAATGTGACATACGCAGTCAAAACAGACATTACTTTTTATTTAAACTGAAGAGTGATTCAGGACGTAAGGCAAAGCGGGTTAGAAGATAACTTTGGTAGAGCCTGCTCACTTCCATTCATTTTTTCTTTGTTTTGGGGACCCATGAGCCGAAGGAAGAAATTCCCCATAGGGAGCCCGAGTCTCCTCCCTTTCCAGTCGGCTCATGGGTTCCCGGAAGAATGAAAAAATGAATGGAAGTCAACGGGGCTAAAAGAGCTATTTTCTAATCCGCTTTGCTTTACGCCCTGGATCGCATGTTGTACTTCAGTTTAAACGAAAAGTAACGATGGCTGTTTCGACCACGCCAGTCGTGTACTTTGAGATTCATTAGCTTGTAAAAGTTTGTAATTAGCACGACTACAAATCGGACGTTGGTGCGTCGCATTTATAACGTCACCACATAATCTCCTCCCCCCCAGCTTAGCTGCTACGTCCCACAGGGTCATGTTGTTCTTTCCTTTTGAAAAAAGGATTTGAAGTTTGCGGAACTTACAGCTATTTACCTTCTGTTTTTCTCCGTGTCTGCATGGTTCGAAGACGTCACTTTGGTGATGCGCATTTGTAGTCCTGGACTTATGTTCACACAAAACCTAAAATGACGTTTTCCCCCCATTCGAAAATAAGCACTTCCTTGGTACCAAAACGTGTCTTTAAAATTCACGGACATGCATGCGTGAAATCCGTGGCACGTAACAAGCGGAATTAGAAAATAGTGTTTGTAGCCCCAGTGGCCGGCATTCGTTTTGTTGTTCTGCGGGCCTGCAGGAGCCAAAGCTACATTTTATAAAGACCACGTGTGTACATTACATAAACTGTTTGTTAATTTATTTATATAGCACTTTATACAGATTGAAATCAAGTAAGGGTCCCTTTTTTAACGAAACTTAGTGCATTATTAAGCATTAATTAACTATTAAAGAAATTCTTAATAACTGCTTAATTTTAATGTTAATGTAAAGTAATGCAAACAGACACCCTCCAGCCCTTTGACCTAACTTTAAGGACACTAAAACTTTGTTTATTAATGCTTAATAATGAACTAAGTAACATTAATAAATAGACCCTTATTGTAAAATGTTGCCAGAAAACACAAATTGGTTCACAGATAAAAACAAACCATAAAAGTGCTGCAATGACAAAAAAAAAAAACAACAACTGGCTGAAATGGGCAGGCCGGGGAGACGAGGGAGAAAGTTTCGGACTCCGAACAAAAAAAACGAAGGTAGTGACAAAGTCTTTTGATTGCCCTCCTGTTTTTCTGCTGTAGGGAGCCTAAAGCTTGATTTATGCTCGACGCGTTTACTTTCCGCTTGGTGATGCGGCTCGCGGATGGAACGCGCTTCACAACTCGCAGCGTTTATGGTTCATGCGGCTCGTCTCCGCGGTGAGCCAATATTCTCCCAAACTGTAGGGGGCAGCATGGAGCTCTACGGCATGCATCCAACACTACACCATAGTAGAAGTAAAAATTACTGTTGTTTACAACATGGCATTCCAGCATTTTTTAACAGCGTCCTCGTCTTTTCCGACAGTGCGAGCTATTTCTCTCCAAGAATTATTAACAACATGTTGATCACGGTGATCTCTGAGAGCTGAATCATACAAATGTCTGTATTTACGAACCTCTGCCATACTAGTTCTTGCCAGTCTGCCATGTTTTTCCGCGTCCGACCGTCCACGTGGTTAGAAAATTTCCTAGGTGCGCGGTGCGGAAAGTTTGGGCCGTGCGGAGGCGCGGTGGAGGAGCGTGGTTGTTAAAATGACGCAATTTTTCCGCGCGGAGCCATGCGAACCTCGCGGATGCGTCAAGCATAAACCAACCTTAAGTCATGCCCATTTACTTCCAGACCATGGGTTCACAGAAGAACAAAAAATTGAAAGCAAGTCGATAGGGCTTGTGATCATGACGTCATTACCGAAGCAGCTGCCCCATTGGAGGCATGTGAGTCCTTACTTGTTGCTTGTTACTACAGCGGGCTCAGTCTTGTTCTTGTGGCTTAAATGAATCTATTATTCAGTTGATCGGTTATGTTACACAACTCTAGTAAATCGTTGCTGTGTTGTGGGGTGACGTGATTGCCAGGGGAATAAAGGTGGAAAACAAGCTAACTTTTCACATTTTTCCTGCTTGAAGGCAAAACCGTAACTAGCTTAAAGATGCATTGATATTTTAGAATGGGGGCAAAAGTTATTTTAGTTTTTGTGTGAAAATATGTCCAGGACTATGAATGTGCATCACTAAATTGACATCCAGACACGTCAAACAGAGGTAAAACGGCCATAAGTTTGGCAAACTTCGAATCGTTCCTTCAGGAAGAAATAAGCACCATAAATCTTGTCATTTGCTAAGTAGCAGCTAGGCTAGGGGAGAGGATGAGATCAGTGGTGGCCATGAGTATGCGACATACCCACGTCTGATTTGCAGTCATGCTAATTGCAAACTTTTACAAGCTGATGAACCTCAAAGTATGTACAGGCGTGGTCGAAACACACGTTATTTTTTTATTGATATCTTGCTACCAGACTGTCTCACGCAGACAAAATGATCAGATTTGGAAAAAAAAAAAAAACTAGAACGACCCTTTGGTATTTTTTCCACACATTCTTTTTTTATTTGTTAATAATAAAAATGAACTTTTTTATATATAAAACATACACATCATTTTAGCCACATCTGTTATACAAACAAGAAATGTTGCAGTGAACGCTTTTCCTCTTCTCTAATTTTCTTCTTGCCTCAGTGGAACACAGAAGATTGTAAACAATCAACATTTTATTTTTTTTAATTTCTCCTGTTAATATTGACAAAAGGAGGAAAAGAACCAAACCAAATTCCACCAGACGATGAAACGAAAACTCTGATGAGGAGGGACTGAAGATGGCCCCGTTGGGACCGTGGTAAACGTCGTGACCCGTTGACCGCTTTGGGTCGTACCTCTTTCTGGTCCCTAATCTTGTACCGTATTAAACACACCATAAACGACTTGGCATCATTTGCAATAATCTATTGTGTAAATTACAGCGTATGACTCTGTGTGAATCTGCATTAAACCTTTATATAACAGCTCGTGTTACAACATTTTAAATTATTCAGTTAAAACATATTTAATACTTCCATATCTGATTTTTACATATTAATTAAAATCACCCCAGCCCCTCGAAGGTATGCTATGATGCATGGGTAATATTACGAGGGGCTGTGGGGTCTGACTTTACAGTACAGTACATCTTCTGGTGGAACAAGGAAGGACATCAGCGTGATCTTGGGGTTCTGTTTGAGAGACATTCAGCACCAGATGGAGGGACGTGGAACAAACTGCAGCCCAGCTCAAATGTCTTGGTGTCATGGGAATGGCTTCTTGGTTTTATCTCTTTAATATTCAAGTACGAGCAAACTGTACAACTGCATGCAACAAACAAGCGGCCCTACAGTACGTGGAACTAACACGCGTCTAGTTCAGTGTCTTTTTTTCTTGAATGGTTTTCCAAAAAAATGTGCATGCAGCTTGATTCCAAAGTCATGCTGGCCCCGCCCCTTTTGATGGTGGGAGGAGTCAGCAGACCAAGCAGAGGGTGAGCGTTGGCGTCCCGACTTTCATCTTCACAGAGATGCACAAAGAAACCGTGATTATTTTCTGCTTGTCTGCTAGGTTAAGTCGAAGAGATGAACTGAACTGACGGGTTTGCTGCTTTTTTTCCTTTTTTTATAACTATCTGTTATTTTTTTTTGAAAAGTTAAACTTTTTGTAGTAAAAAAATCAAGCTCTTGTGCTTTCGTTAAAAAAAAAAAAGTTAAACTAAGGTTCAGATAAAAACCTCAAACGTGCTGGGGGTAAGGGAAGGCACGCCCTCAAAAATGTGAAAAATTAGACGGCCCTTTCCGGCTCTGTCGTAAGCGGACAACTATTTTCTTTTTCTTTACAGTGACGCTCTACTTTTGCGACGCTTGAAAGTGACATAAAATTGAGTTATTGGTCAACCTCCATGGAGGCCTGATATACATCTATACAAAGACGGCTGGCCAGCACCCGGGCCAGGAGCAGAACGTGGAAAACAACACTAACCTCACTGTCAGGTGTAAAAATCTAAGACATGTCATTGTGATGGCCCATCCCCTCGGTGTCATTCCAGTTCTGTTTACGCCTGGATTTTGTTGCACTAAGAAAAGTGGTTGGAATGCAGACACGTCTGCAGACATAAAACTGGAATCACAGTTCATACATTTTTGTTTCCAATCAGTCAAACGTTAGACGGTAAATAGCTTGTATTCATAAAGCGCCTTCTAGAGTCCTAGAACCCCCCCCCCCCCAGGCAGGGGTAGACTGGGACAACGCACACACACACACATGCACGCACACACACATTAGTCTTATTGGTCCCCAACTTCTTCCAGAGAGAAATGTTCCTGATACTTGCAATGACCGCTTTGAGAAAAAGTAGTCTTGATTAAAAAATAAACTTTTATAATTGACTTGAAGGAACTTAAGAACCTTTGTGAATCCCAGTTTGTCTCTAACAGACACAGTCCGGTGAGAGGCTGGCTTTACGTCGTACAAATAACGACTAACAAGTTAAAGAGGCAACAAAATTGATAAAGTATCCATCCAGAGTATTTTGTTGGAACGTCAGAACCAGGAAGGAGCCAAAACGATGAGCCATCGCAGTTACCATCACCCCAGCAAAATACTTGCAGACATTTACAAAATTTTTTATTCTTTTTAAACCTTTTATTTTTTCTCTCCATGCACACATCAGACTGACAACACCATCATGAGCAGTTTACGCACTGTAAAAACATTTTGTGCCTGAAGTAACAAAGGAAAAGAAATGGACGACAAAGAATCGACTCCTAGAAGACGGCGGCCCCAGAGTGGCCGTGGTAAACATTTTGAAAAGAGGGACCAGTGATCTAGGCACCAGAAGAAGGCCCTGTGCTTCCAGACTGAATTCCCACATAAGAGGGGTGGGGGGGTTGTAGGGGGGCAGTCTGCTGGGCTTCCAGAGGAGGCCGCTGCAGAAAAGACTGCGCCACCTGCAGGCAGGGCAGGGCATTACCTCTGTCCCGAGGACATACATTCCGATGCTTACAGACATTTCTTTGCTATGTTGATTCAGTTAAAGATCACCCTGTTTCATTTTGATTCGCTGACACTCATAGTTTTCATCTTCCAGCTTGAAAAAAAAAACAACCTATGAGATTCCTCTTTGAAAGGAAATGAAACACTGAAATGTGACCGCTTCCTACGACAGACAAAAATAACTGCGACAGGAGTGATTGTCAGATTTCAACAAAGCTTTCTTGTTGGGACTGTTTCTGATTGTTGTTGTTCTACACCTCCATCTTTCTCCTTTTCTTCTGCTTCTCTCTCATTTCTAGAGTTTGTTTAATTTTTTTGTTACCACTCGACTGACGGCGCAGGGCTGTTGGTCCACTAGGACCGAACTCCAGGGGGTCCAGGCGAGCTGTCCAGAGATGACTGAGATGCTCTCCGTGTCAGGGAGGCGAGTGTCGGATCCACCAGAGAGGATGGTGGGAACAACTTGTACCAACCAATAACCGTGCTTGATAAGTCCAACTCATCCAACAGGATCTGTGCGACTCCCATGAAGCTTTTATGGTCCATTCTGCCGTAGTCTCCCCAGACAATCACCTGAACGACAAAGTGGTTATTATCATGCCTCTGATGTGGGAATCTTTGACAGGAAGAGAGGGAACTGCTGCTCACCTGTAAGACTTTACCCTGTGGACTCTCCTCAAACAGCAGCGCTTGCTGGTACAGTGGGTCGAGTGTTTTCCGTGCAATCTTGGTTTTCTTTTTGGCTACATATGCTCCATTATTCAGCAGGTAGACTTTGACGTACGGAGCTGAGAGCGAACAATGAAAAACCAATTAGTGGGAACCTCAGTTTGATCTCTATCCCCTAACATGGATGCTTTACATATTTCTTTACACGCCACATATTTGTACTTCAGGACAATTCATAAAATTAAGGCTGAAGGCGTTTAAAACCCTGAAAGAGCTATGGACTTAAAAACTGAAGTAGATTTTCAGATTGCAAACGGTTTATGCGTTCTTCTTTTTATTAACCATTTGTACGGTTTCCTGTTAGCTTGAATCGGTTGTGTTAAGGTCAGCTGTTGTATCAGAAAATGGCACGAGTAGGCAAGAATTCCTTTTCCAAGCTTTATTCAAACCTGCGTCACATGTAGCAATATCAGGCATCCATCTTAACTCCCCATCACTTCTTCTCTCCTCCCTCACATACATACTTCATATCCTAGGCTGCCCTCTAGTGGTTAGGGATGGGTACCTTTGACATTTGAATCGATCCGGTACTAATTCTCGGTACCTAGGAATCGATACCGGTACTTAACGGTACCAATTTTAGATACTTTTGAGTGTTTAATATTTTAATTCTCCTTTATAATTAAATATATATTTTTCTCAATATATAACCATATTTGATAAATATCACGATAAATAACATACAACTGTTTGTATTTTAACATGGTCCTTGTAGTTTTATAAGCTGATAATTAAACTGAAGCAAACATCTTTACTGTGAACTAAATTCACTGTGTATCTTCATTCCTTTTGCCGTCTCTTCATTTGATTTTTCCTACTGGGAAGTTAGAATTTCCGAGGAGAAAGCAAACGCACCATTAGCTGATAACAATGGTAGCAATGGAAGCTAACATACCAAGCTAACGTTATCTTAAACAGTTTATTTAGCTGCTGGAGCAGATTAAAACGATGATGCCTCACTTAGATCATTGTCACTGGTTTCATCTTCACCCAATCACCCGTCGCATTTAGTAAAGTGAAGCCAAACTTTAGAGCGCGTTCATGTTCTTCTGGAATTCGGAGTTCCGAGGAGAAAGCGAACGCACCATTAGCGAAATGGAAGCTAACATATCAAGCTAACGTTATCTTAAACATTTTATTTACCTACCGGAGCAGATTAAGATGAGGATGTCTCACTTAGATCGTTGTCGCTGGTTTCATCATCACCCAGTTACCCATCACATTTAGTGAAGTGGACCCAAGCGTTAGCGTGTGTTCTTTCTACCATGCTGCTCTGTTTACAACTCGCTCGCAGCGACCAACGATATAACGCTCTTGCGCATGCGCAGCTGTCTAGACAAGTTCTCATTGTGAAGGACGGGTACCGAAACGAGGCACCGTTTCAAATGACGTGAATCGGTGCTCTGTCGGTACTATGGAATTCGGTCGGTACCTTAAAAAGTACCGAATTCGGTACCCATCCCTACTAGTGGTGGACACAAAAAGTAGCTTTTCTCTGTGGTAAGTGGCTGATAGCCATCTAGGGTTCTGCCACTGTCAGCCGCACTAGTCTGGTTCTTACCCGGGAGAGACTTGGATCCTGGTTTTTGTACAAGTCCTCGAGCTCTGATGACCTCCACCTCCAGCTGACTCTTTTTCTCCATCATTCCAATCTGGATGTCCCCTAGACAACCCCAAACAGAGAAATGATAGATGATTTAAAAGTCAGTGAGATGCTTACGTTAACTGCGATCAGAAACAAGTGTGAGAAGGAATTTTCATCAAATTTTTTTTTAAAAGCATCCGACAAGAGGAAAGGATTAAAAAAAGAAAATAATGGATGAAAAAAGGCAAAGAAGAGACAAAAGAAAGACCAGAGAGTTTCATACCAATTGCAGGAGTAGCCAGCGTTTGGCGGCCCACTAACTGTGCTGGTCCCAGTCCATCCAGAAAGTTGCTAAACTGGCTGCTGGCTCCCAGATTCACTCCAGGGAAAATCAAACTACCAGAGAAAAAGCGAAAGGAAAACACGAACAGGTGGTTAGAATGATCAGAGCTGTGATCCGATCGTGCTGCCCGCAGGAGAACGACCCGGAAAGACAGAACCAGGACGCTTCCCTGTCAGAAGGTGGTAAAAGTTCACTGACGTTCCCTCAGAGTTGCAGCTGTTCATGCTGCCGTTGTTGGACTCTCTGCTCGGCTGCCGGCTCATGTTCCTGGGCAGCTCCACAGCCATTCCCGTCTCTGTGCTCCTCTGGATCGAGGCGCCCTTCTCCCGTTTGCTCTTTCCTTCTGGATAAAAGAGAAATAAGACCACATTTTATCCTACTTTCACATTTATACATGTTTTTATGACTCTTGCATTTGTTGAAGCAAAAGAATAAATCAGTTCCTTAAAAGGGTAGCTCGCCGTGGTGACTCACCAGGCCCGCTGATCTGTGAGGTGCTGCGGCTGCGGCGGTTGCCCACGATGGCCACCACGCGCGCGCTGAGGCTGGAGCGTCTCTTCTTGCCGCCGCCACCCACCGTCCCCAGCGCTGTGTCTGATTGGCTGCCGTCTGTGTGCTCCTGCGTGTAGATCTCTCCGCTTACGCTGGAGCTCTTCATCATGTCGCGGCCCATCGATCGAATACGGCGGCTGGAGGAAGAGGACACTGGGATGAATCTGGGACAGGATGCATCCAGGAAATTAGCTCGGAGGCATGATGAGCTAGCAGCTGGTCTAAACCCACCAGGACCATAGAGTGTTTACGCTCACGTGGACTCTGTGGTGATCAACGAGCATCACGGCTGTGAAGGTTCATGTGTTTGTATTGGTGACACAGTCTGGTCCCTGCTGGTTTGGACTCGCCATTAGCTTGTCAACCCTGAAGGATTAAAACTATTTCTCTGAACAGAGGCTGTTCAGTAAGCTTTCTAAAGTAGGTAAGAACATAAATATGAATATTTTGAGTCCATAAACACTTTTTAACACATTAAACAGCACGACAGACAGGATGGAGGATGTGGTTTTTATTTAAACAGGAAATGAAGGAACGTGTTTCCTTGAAGAATAAAAGAATGGACGTATGAAGTGAAGACATGTAATTTGCATTAATTTGATGTTTAATGTTAATGTTGTTGTTACCGTTGAAATCCTGAAGAGGAAAAGTTAAACCTGCAGGTTTACGGTCCCGTCAACAAGATTTGTTTATGAATTAAGACTTTGCACAAATCAAACACATTTATTAATTTAACTCTAAACATTTAATTTTGGTGTCCACAATTTTAAGAGCAATGCTAATGTAATGAAATTATTAGAAAATCATTTAGTAACATTTTATATGGCAAATGGCCTGCATTTGATATAGCGCCTTCTAGAGTCCTGGGACCCCCCAAGGCGCTTTACAACACAATCAGTCATTCACCCTTTGAACATCTTAGATGTGTTCTTGCTGTGTCGTGGTTCTAAATCCATGCTTTCGTTCTTTTTAAACACAGAAACGGTTTTGTTACCTGTTATTGACGCTACAGTTTCGCCGACGGCTGCCGGCTTCTTCAGGCTGACGCTGATGGTGGCGCGTCACTTCCTTCTCCGTTTATCTGCGGGCAGCAGAGGACGTTGTCGCCCTCTACTGCCCGCTCTCCCCTCTCCGATGATGCAGTCCCATGCGTGGTCCAGAAAACCATATAATGGACTGGGACAACACACGGATCATAACCACAGAACAACAAAAATACAAAAGATGGATCAAGGAAGCAATCGAGATAAGGAGACGTGGATGTGGGACCATGAACAGGGACGACGGAGTTTACACGCTGGACCACGCATGGGACTGCATCGTCGGAGAGGGGAGAGCGGGCAGTAGAGGGCGACAACGTCCTCTGCTGCCCGCAGATAAACGGAGAAGGAAGTGACGCCACCATCAGCGTCAGCCTGAAGAAGCCGGCAGCCGGCGGCGAAACTGTAGCGTCAATAACAGGTAAACAAAACCGTTTCTGTGTTTAAAAAGAACGAAAGCATGGAGTCGTTCACCCATTCACACACACATTCACACCCTGGTGGGGATGAGCTACAATGTGGCCACAGCTGCCCTGGGGCACACTGACAGAGGCGAGGTGCCCCCGGTCCTTCTGACCACCACCAGCAGGCAAGGGGGGTTAAGTGTCTTGCCCAAGGGCACAACGGCAGCGACAGACTGAGCTGGGCTCGAACCTGCAACCTTTCGATTACGGGACGAGCACTTAACTCCTGTGCCACCGTCACCCACAACAAGGGCCCCTTTATTAATGTTACTTAGTGCATTATTAAGCATTAATAAACCAAATAAATGAAGTGTTACAACGGCTCAATATTAATGTCAAGTAATGCATTACTAAGCAGCCCCCCCCCCCCGTCCCTTTGTCCTAACCTTAAGGACCCTTAAGCAACGTTAATAAAGGGACCCTTATTGTTAAGTGTTACCAGTAATTTATTAGTAGATAACAGAACTTCTAAAATGATGTCATCATGATTTAAACGGTCCAGCAGCAAGAGCAGAGCAGAAACTTCCCAGAGAGTAGCGCTGCCCCCTGGTGTTTCGGAGCAGCTCCAGCACGTCGACCCTAACCCTTTCAGAGGGGGTCAACGTGCTGCATGAGAGTCCAGCTTCGCTGACCCCGTCCCCCACAACCCCCGCTCCCCGAGAGCCCCAGAGAATCAGAGGAACCGGGGAACAGGTGGAGAGAGGGAGGTGGGTCTGAGGCCTCTCCTCCAGGTTCTGTTGGGGGGGTCAGAGAAGGGCGGGCAGAACCAGGGTAAGATGGGAGGGGACAGTCCAGGTCAGAAGGGTAGAGGGGGTCCAGACAGTCACAGCACAGCAAACACGCAAGGAGGGATCTGAGACATGCGAGAGGGTCACACACGCACACACACACACACACGCGCACACATACACACACGCGCACACACACACACACGCGCACACACACACACACGCGCACACACACACACACACACACACACACACACACACACACACACACACACACGCACACACACACACACACACACACACACACACACACACACACACACACACACACACACACACACACACACACACACGCACACACACACACACGCGCGCACACACACACGCGCGCACACACACACACACGCGCACACACACACACACGCGCACACACACACGCGCGCGTGCGCGCACGCGCACACACACGCACACACGCGCGCACACACACGCGCACACACACACACACACACACAAACAAACACACACACACACGCACACACAAGCGCACACACGCGCACACACACACACGCACACACAAGCGCACACACGTGCACACACACAAGCGCACACACACACACACACACACACCCACACACACACACACACACACACACACACACACACACACACACACACACACACACACACACACACACACACACACACACACACACACACACACACACCTCATTTTGAAGCGTTTCTCCTCTAGAACAACAATTTATACAAGTTCTGTAAAATCAAGATCAACAAAAGGCAGAAAAATCTGAAAATTATGCAAAATTAGTTAAAGGAGCTACAAAAATGACTAAATTACTCAGGATGCTGGAAGCAGGCGTGTGAAGGAGGGTAGAAGGTTAAAAATGTGAAAAGTGAAGAATTTGGATAAATTCATGTGTAATTCCACATTTTTGATCTGATGTCAAACAGAAAGATGACTCATGTGATCTGAAATCAGCAGCTTCACTAACAAACAGAAGCCGTACATGTCCCCCTGGTTCCGGCTCATCCTGTGTTTTCTGAATATCAGCCTGAAGAAGTTCACATACGGAAGGGAAAAAGGTCATTTATTCCAATGTAAACGACCTCTGGGAAACTCCAGCGACTCCAGAGGATTCTAGGTGACGCGTAAAGCTGCCCTGAGTTGAAACTGTAGGTGATGCAGCAGGTAGACCTTACTCTAGCCCTGAAAACACAGGGTTGAACTCACAGAACAACAGACACATTTCTGGCTGCCTTGCTGGTTCTGACCGGCTCTTTCCGGAGATGCTGGACCTTCGTTGTTACCTGGACTCCCTTGTGTCTCCTGCTACCGTGTGTCTCCTGCGCTTCAACTCCTCAGAGAATGGCCTTTTCCCCGCCAACCCCCTCTCCTCCTCCTCCTCCTCCTCCTCGTTCTCCTCCTCTCCATTCACCCCCCACGAGATCCGCCTGTCCTTCTTCTCCTCCTCTAACGACTTGGATCTGAGTTTGGTTTGTTTTCGAGTTCGTGTGTGAGCATGGAGAAGACCGAGCATGCAGCGGAGCAGACACATGCAGCGTGCAGGAAGAACGAAGAACAGACAGATCAGCACACAGCGCTGACGAGACAACGACTGAGTTCTGTTGGACCGGAACCAGCTCCAGCCAGGACTGACCTGAGCCGTCCTCCGGGCCGCTCTGACTGGATGGACATGTAGCTGGTGCTACTGAGGCGAGAGGCACTGCTGGCGTGGGAGATGGCCGACACATCGCTCATGTCGCTGTCCGACGACCTGGCCGACATGTTGTCGCTGCTGCGCCTCTGCTCCGCGTACATCTGCAGTCGAAGAAAATCAGAGGAAATTTTAAACTTGCTGCTTGGGATTAAAAATCCTGAGCTACGTCTGGAGATCCTGACCTCCCGCTTGGTCTTGAGGTTTGTCTCGGGGTCGTGGGAGGCTGAGGGCCGGTAGGAATGTACTTTCAAGGGCAGCTGTCGGGCTCGGTCCTCCGCAGCCAGAGCTGAAACAAACATTTATTAGTGATTAAACTGATTTTAGAGCATAAAGCTTTTCTCAGGGAGGTGAAAGCCGACCTTGCTCTACGCTGCTGCTCTTAGCTGGGAGCTGCGGGAGCTGCCGACCTCTCCGACCTGACGAGTGAGTCCCGGTGGGGGGAGAGGGGCCGCCGTGCGGATAAGCTCTGGGATGGAGAATCCAAAACACACAAACGGGTGGGGAGTGTCAGACTTTCTGCTTCAAACCAGCCAATAAGAAGTAGATGTGACGGCTGCGTAAAAGGTCAAAGGTCAGCAGGAGAGGAATTAAAGGAAGAATTTCTGATCTTCTACAGAAACAGCAGAGCAACACCACTCGGGAGGATTTCAGGACACGGGGAGGGGTAGCGGGTAACAGCATGCACCTGTCGGGCCGTGGCGAGTTAGGACAGGACCCGGATCGAACCGTCTGGGCAAAGGGCCTCAGGGGCCCCCCTCCCCTTCTACTGCCCCTCAGGATAGAGGTGGGCTGGATTCGACTGTCGTTAGCAAATAAAAAGATAAACAAAACTATTAAACTGATTTTAGACAACAAAATCATTTAAAGTAGACGAAGAGACCAGTGTGAAGAGTAAATGTGTGTGTGTGTGTCTGCTCTGTCTTCTCCATCCCCAGTGAGTCGTGGTGGATGGCTGCTTAAGCTTGGTTTATGCTCGACGCGTTCACTTTCCGCTCGGCTCGCCGATGGAACGCGCTTCACAACTCGCAGCGTTTATGGTTCATGCGGCTCGTCTCTGCGGTGAGCCAATATTCTCCCAAACTGTAGGGGGCAGCATGGAGCTCTACGGCATGCATCCAACACTACACCATAGTAGAAGTAGAAATTACTGTTTACAACATGGCATTCCAGCATTTTTAACAGCGTCCTCGTCTTTTCCGACAGTGCGAGCAATTTCTCTCCAAGAATTATTAACAACATGTTGATCACGGTGATCTCTGAGAGCTGAATCATACAAATGTCTGTATTTACCAACCTCTGCCATACTAGTTCTTGCCAGTCCGCCATGTTTTTCCGCGTAGTTAGAAAAGTTCCTAGGTGCGCGGTGCAGAAAGTTTGGTCCGTGCGGAGGCGCGGTGGAGGGGCGTGGTTGTTAAAATGACGCAATTTCGCCGCGCGGAGCCATGCGAACCTCGCGGATGCGTCAAGCATAAACCAACCTTTAGGCTGAGCCAGGATCCTCTGGAGGTTTCTTCCTGTTAAAAGGGAGTTTTCCTCTCCACTGTCGCTAAATGCTTGCTTAGTATGAGGATTGCATCAAGTCACTGACACTAGTCAGTGACTTGATGCAATTTGCTGGGTTCCTTATATAGGAAACATTATTTCTGATTGGCTTAATGAACTGACCTGGACTGGAATGTTTATTATGTGAAGTGCCTTGAGACGACTCTTGTCGTGATTTGGCGCTTTATAAATAAACTTGGATTGAATTGAATTGGATTTTAGTATACCACAGGTGGCTGATATGAAAGGACTAAATGAATGAATGAATGAGCTCAGATGCCCACCTCCAGGCTCAGGCTGAAAGACTACGCCTGGTTTAACAATCAGTCGCCACAGAAACACGATAAAAAGAACAAAAGACGGAGAAAGAAAACCTCCAAATGTTGGCTGAGATGCTGGAAATGAAACCTGGAATCAGGCTCAAACCGACGCTTTCCCCTACGGTGCACTAAAGCGTTCCAGCTCAGACTTGTTGGTCCTGTCAACATCTTTTCCTCCAGCAACAGGTTATGGCAGAGAAACACTTTCAAACCAGATTTGAGAGGAAAATCGGCGCAGAAATAAATGGCTGCAGGAGAAGTTTCCAGAAGGAGCAGTCAGGAAAGTTTAAGCAGGAAATGAGAGCAGAAGCAAAGCGGAGGTCAAAAGGGAGGTCTGGTGTACCTGTCTTCCTCAAGGGGGACATGTTCTACTAAGATCCTGGGGCGGGACAAAGAGTTGGAGCACCTGGAAGGTTGGGACGAGGGTTAGGGTTAGGGTTAGGGTTAACATTCCAGGTAGGAATACCAGGAGATGCTGTTAGTTAAAGGCTGTGACTTTATGGTGCAACATCAGAAACAATACAACTTTCTGAACTGGGGAAAAACTACCAAGTGGAAACTTTTTAAGGGTCTAAAATAGGATTTCAAAAGCTTAACATGAAAAGAAAAACCTCTTTCTGCTGGATTAGATCCCATTTAGCCCGTTTTTTTAGTAAAACATTACAGGTTTGTGTTTCCAGTTACCGGAAAACGACTTTAAATCTAAAGTTAGCCGATGACATTTTAATTTAATGACATTTTCTGTTCCGTCCATAGAAATCAGAACATGAACATGTTTAAGAGTTTATACCTGAGGCAACAGTCGTGATTTGCAGCTGAGAGTAAAATCTCCATCAGTTTGAAACAAGACGTGGAAACGCCTTACGAGAGGACTGTGTGACATGAACGCAGGTGAAGGCATGAAGGCAGCTTCCTGTTTCCATGGAAACGTGAGTTTTCTCTTGAGAGGTGTGATTTGTTTGTGATACCTGTCGGAGGAGTGAAAGCTGATGTCTGGTCTCAGACAGGTGGTGCTGGCACTCCTCACTCTGTCCAGCGCCGGCTGCAGGTCGCTGCAGCGCACAAACCCGGCAGCAGGGGGCAGACGAACAAAGACACACCGATGGAGAAGAGGTTAGAAAAGGACTCAAGGAGAGGAGATGAAGAAAAGTCAGAAAGAGAGAAACAGAGAGATTGTCAGACCCTGATTCATCATCGTCATTCCTGCAGTCAAAATGGGAGGCTGACGTGTTGCCATGGGAACCAGATCTAAACACGATGGTTTATATGTGCGTGCATCTCTACTGGTTCTGCACAAAGTTCAGTCATCTCTCCATTTCTTCTCATTTTAAACACTAACGACTGCAGGAGCTCCACCTCGAGAACAATTGATGTCAAATATTCAGACGACACTACGAAAACAGATGGACTACCGCAAACAGACGCTCGCTCACCGTCACACGCTCAATAAAATCACCAGAATAAGGAGTAGAGTCACAGATCAGGAGCAGCAGTCACTCAGCATCCCCTGGAGCTCTGAGGAGAGGCTCCCAGACTCCTCACATGCTCCCCCCCCCACCAAACCGTGTTACCATCAGATCGTTGGTTCAGGGTCAGAAACAAACGGTCCCCCTACCTCAGTTCACCCGGTAAGTACCACGCTACGGTCCAGGCGACCGTGGATCGGACTCATTTGAAAGTGTTTTATTACTCCTGATGTGTTTGTGTACGAACATCTGTCTTGGCTCTCACTTTCAGCTAGACTTCATTATCACTGTCTTTAAAACCGGTTACATCACAATGATTTACTTTTTCTATCAGTTCCAGGAGTCAGAGAGGTAGGTGAATATGCTTCTAGTGTCGAAGCTCCCCATCCCTGGAACAGCCTTGCTGCAGACATCAGTTCTCTCACTTCTTCTCAGACTTTCCGAAAGGCAGATCTAACATTTCTTCACAGTGGTAGCTGTTGTAAATGTTACTTATTAAAAATGTCTTAGGTGTGTTCTTGCTGTGTCTTTCTAATTCCATGCTTTCGTTCTTTTTAAACACAGAAACAGTTTTGTTACCTGTTATTGACGCTACAGTTTCGCCGACGGCTGCCGGCTTCTTCAGGCTGACGCTGATGGTGGCGCGTCACTTCCTTCTCCGTTTATCTGCGGGCAGCAGAGGACGTTGTCGCCCTCTACTGCCCGCTCTCCCCTCTCCGACGATGCAGTCCTGTGCGTGGTCCAGCGTGTAAACTCCGTCGTCCCTGTTCATGGTCCCACATCCACGTCTCCTTATCTCGATAGCTTCCTTGATCCATCTTTTGTATTTTTGTTGTTCGGTGGTTATGATCCGTGTGCTGTCCCAGTCCATTATATGGTTTTCTCTTAAGCAATGATCTGTTACGGCTGACTTTTTTATTGTACTTTCTGCTTCTTCTTTTGCTGCTCTTGTGTGTTTACGATTTGCCTCTTTCTCGCACTCCTTTCTGTGTTCTATTGTTCGTGTGTTGAGTTGGCGTCCGGTTTCTCCTATGTATGTTTTATTGCATATTTTGCATGGGATTTCGTAGATGACTCCACATTTTTGTCCAGCTGATATTTTGTCTTTTGGGTGTACTAGTCTGTTTCTCACTGTTGTGTATGGCTTTACATCCGCAGATAAACGGAGAAGGAAGTGACGCGCCACCATCAGCGTCAGCCTGAAGAAGCCGGCAGCCGTCGGCGAAACTGTAGCTACAAACAGGTAAACAAAACTGTTTCTGTGTTTAAAAAAGAACGAAAGCATGTTATTAAAAATGTACTTATTGATTTAAGGTCAAGGTCAGTTTTACTTACAGAGCGCATTTACAGCAGCAAAGCTACACCAAAGCGCTGTACAAGGTACAACAAATCAACAATAAAAACCTAAAATCAGATGAGCACACAACAATCACAATCAGTAATAAAAACTGTTAAAAACTATTAAGATGCTCAAGTCAACCTGCATTAAAAGCCAAATCAAAAATGGCGTCTTAAGAAGGGATTTAAAATGCTCTAGATTCTGTGTGGTCCTGATGTTGAGAGGTAGCTTGTTCCACAGTTTGGGCCAAACCACAGAGAACGCTCTGTCACCGCGAGTCTTGTGGCGGGTTTTTGGAACTGTTAAAAGAGCTTGAGAGCTGGACCTCATGGTTCTGGCAGGGATGTAAGCGGACAGCAGCTCAGAGATGTAAACTGGGGCCAGGCCATGAAGGGATTTAAAAACAAAAAGTAAAAATTTAAAATGGATCCCGTTAGAGACAGGAAGCCAATGGAGAGAGGGCAGAACCGGGGTTATGTGATCCCGCTTGCTGGTTCCAGTCAGCAAGCGGGCCGCTGCATTTTGGACCAGCTGAAGTCGGTGTGGGGAGGACTGGTCCAGGCCAGAATACAGGGAGTTGCAGTAGTCCAATCGGCAGGACACGAACAGGTGGATGACATGTTCGAAGACATTAGCAGGAAGGTATGGCTTCACCTTTGCTATCTGCCTTAAATGATAAAAACCTGACTGGACCACTGCACTCACCTGTCTGTAAAGATTACAAGAACCATCTAAAAACACACCAAGGTTTTTAACACAGGCTTTTAGAAAACCAGAACAAGAACCAAGAGGACCAACAGCGTTATTACTATTATGGTTATTTTTTGTTACAGGTATACAATTGTGTTTTTGAACATCATCATCATCATCATCATTTATTTATTTCCAACATGCCAATAAGATCACAATCAACAACAGGATATAAATCAATAATAAATCCAGTTGACATTGTTGTAGGCATGTTCGAAAGGGAGTGGGCGGAAGCCAAGCTTATTCAAGCCCACCACTATTTAACAGTTTAACATTCAGTATGTAGCATGAACTCAAATTCAACAACCTTATGACCAAAGAAAATCATAACAATATTAATAATGGTAGTCTAGACAATTTAACAATTCTTGTCAATATCATTAATTATATATTCCCATACACTTTTACTCACACCATCGCCCATTCTCATTTGTAATGAATTTTAATCAAAACTCTAACCCTAACTGTTCTTCTGTAGTGTGCTTTAAAAATCTGAATATTTTGACATTGTTTGTGATCAGTCTTTAAGTTATTCCATATTTTTATCCCACACACACACACACACAGAAGCTTTTACGTGTTGTTTGCACCAGTGCTAATTTAAATATTTGAGCTCTCCTTAGGCTATGTGACAGCTTTTTAATTATAAATAGCTTTTGTAAATTATTTGGTAGAAATGTATTAAATGCTTTGAAAAGAATTTGAACTGTTTGATATTTAATTATATCCTGTAATTTGAATAATTTTGATTGTAAAAAAAAAAGTTGATTTGTGTGTTCTAAGAATCCAACCTCATGTATGATACGGACCGCTCTTTCTTGCAATATATGAAGAGGATGTAAGGAGCATTGATAATTATTCCCCCATACCTCAGTGCCATAAGTAAAATAAGGGAGAACTAAGGAGCAATACAATACACGAAGTGTGTTGCGATCAAGAAATGACTTGGCTTTCTTTATTATCGATAGACTTTTTGAGATTTTTAGTTTAGTGTGTCTGATGTGAGGTTTCCATGACAGTTTACTGTCTATTGTGATTCCCAAAACTATGCTTTCTTGTACTATTTCAATTTGAAAACCATCTATATTTATTGGCAACTCAAACTTTGTTTCTTGATTACCAAATTTTATTGCTTTAGTCTTGTTTAAATTTAATGACAACTTATTGCTGTCCATCCATCTTTTAACAACAATCAATTCTTCATTTATTTTTTAATAAGATTTGGATAATTGTCACGGCTATAAAATATATTTGTATCATCTGCAAATGAAATAAAATTTAGTAATGTAGATGTTTCAAAAAATATAATTAATGTACAAATTGAACAAAATAGGTCCCAGTACTGATCCCTGGGGTACACCACAAACAATGGTGAGGAGACACCATTAGTTCTAGTAACACCTGGGCTCCCAAGGCCTGTTCTGACAGGACGGATGTTACCGGACCCTTAAGGATTCCAGTTGGACGATTGGAGGATTATTTAGGAGGATTGGAATGAACAAACTGATTACAGTGGTGAAGGCTAAAGGTATTGGCTTGGAATTAAAATTGTAAAAATGCAAAATAACAACACTTTACCATCTATATAAACATGTACTGGGTTAAGTTTTTTATTTTGTCAAGGACTTTTGTCATAAATCATTACAGAAAAACCAAATCATCTCCTCCAGACAGTGAAGAACTGTGTTTCGCATTTGTCACTCCAGCACGTACAACAAGCTAGCTGCTGATGCTAGTGTTGTGAATAACTGTTATTTGTTTACTTTCATGCTCCTAATTATTACGTAAAATTGCGTTTACAGCTGCAGCAAAAGGTCTGAGCCATGTGTCCGTGTCCTACACGCATTTTTAAATAACAGGTCTGATCTAAAGTAATAACCTACATCTATAAATCCATCTAGAACCGCACCGCTACTTCTGGACTCCAGACGGGTCCCGTTAGCATGACTGCAGCAACACTGCTAACCGTGTTAGCTCAGGTAAGGAAAGAACAAGTCCTTTGGGAAAGCTACGACACACACACGCACACACGCGCACACACACACACACACACACACGCGCGCGTGCGCGCACACACACACACACGCGCGCACACACGCACACGCAAACGCACACACACACACACACACACACACACACACACACACACACACACGCGAGCGCGCGCGCACACACACACACACACGCACACGCACAAGCACACACACACACACACACACACACACAGATATAATCTAAAAGATGATCTCTATATTTCAACATTAGAACCTCCATGACATTGTGGATTAGTGCAAACAACGAGTTGAGCTAAGGAGTTACTCCAGCATCAAGAAGACTTATTCTTGTAAATTGTCGGTTAAATATTTTCCAGAGTTATATCAATAAATACACACAGCAGTAAAACTGTAGATTACTGAACTACATTGGGACACGTGATGGAGCTAAGACCAGCTGAGAACTTGTCAGCTTAGAGCTCCCGGTGGAGCACAGAAATGAAATATTTAAGAAAAGTAAACAAACTGTACCGATTTTGGTTCTGAAGATGTCCAAATCTTTTCGCAGGTCTTCTGAGTCAAACGGTCTAAAACATGTCTGCACCTCTGGTAGTGATATCCAGCTGGCGGGGTCGGAGTTCGGTTGAACTTCTCCAGTAATCTAACATCCGTTCTCGTCGCCGTATCCCAGAGAAAAAACAAATCTGGCCGACTAGCAGAGGCTTCAGAAGCTACATCTGACTGACGACACATTGTTCTCTGCTATAACGCTAACGCAGAAACAGCGGAGTCAGGCGTTGTTTACTACAGCTGTTTCAGCAGAGCTCCATGTGAAACGTCAACTGCTTCCCAGGGCTTAGACCGGAAGTTAGTTTCTGTTTTTCCCGCGCCGGTCACAAACATCAGATTTTCTTACAATTCCAGCCGTCAAAATCCAAAAACCTTTTACACCTGAGGTTTTAATACACATTTACACATGCTGTTCAAACAAAATTTGCCTCTGGCCGATATCTTTAAATGAGTGAGTGAACCCACTACCAAGGATGAACTCTGCTAACTTTAAAAATCAGCTGCTCTAAATAAGCATGAAGGTCAGAGAGGAGCTCTAGGATGGACATGGATACAGGAACTGTAATGTAGAGGTAAAGTAGGGCAGGGCCAACGTTAGCAGCTGTCATACGGTCCATCTGAAATGTTTGACTTTCATTTAGCTTGTTATGTGACAGGTTAGAGCAGTCTCATGTTAGAGTTTTGTCATGAGAACATTGAGATACCTCACACACTGATGGCATCTAAAAATTAACATTTTTATTTTCAAAATAAAGAATAATTTTAATCACAATTGAAACGTACAATCCTAGAAAATCCTCGTCCAATCAATGTGCACGTCCTGTTCTCACTGATTGGATAGAAATCCCTCCATCAAACTGTGTGTGTGTCCGTGTGTGTGCATGCACACACGAGCGTGTGTAAACTGGTATTGTGGTTTTGCACTGATGTAACCATCTTTACGCTGACAAAAATGTAACTAAGTAACTTTTACTCTGAGTACATTTTATTTACGATACTTTTTACTTTTACTTGAGTAAAAATTTAGGCAAGTACTTTTACTTGTACTTGAGTAAAAATTATCAAAGTACTGGTACTCGTACTTAAGTAGGAAATTTTAGTACTCTTTCCACCTCTGATCAAATGTTTCTACAGGTGCTTTCTGAGCTGAAGAGACTATTCTGCCTCAGACTGGATGCGTCATGCGTGTCCATATTAGAGACGGGAACAAGCGCTATTCAGCAAAAGTTTCATAATCAGAGAACATTTTTCCAAGTGACACATCCCTCAGAGAGACCGGTTTTCCAGACCGCTTCGGTGGGAGGAAATCTTACCGCGTGCGCCGTGGTTCTGCGCTGCGCTGCAAACCCCTCTACAGATCTTCAGCTCACTGTCCACCGTGTTCGCTCCGAGCCGCGCTGAGCACAGTGTCCAGTATAAAGCTCTGATGTTCTGATGGGAATCATTTCTTGATTGATTTAGTTACCTCCGCCATGTGCGTAACGATTAAAATGTCGGCTCATCTGTGTGCGCATCAGTGTGCATCAGTGTTGCGCATGCAACCAACATCCTTGAGTTTATCCGTCAAAATAAACAGTCAAATGTAAATATCTGTAACCTGTCATTTAACTGTTTTGCCTTCTTGTGAAGATTGTTGCAAAGAGAAACAATTAAACCTGATTAACCCCAGAGCCACGCGCACGGCGCTGTACTCCGTGACTGTAAATGAGGGGAAACGATTTAATCGGATCCTTTTCTTTTCAACATGGTTTAATGTAAAGTGTCATTCAGTACAAACTTTAGTTACACCAATCTAACGAGGCAGAGCCTGGATTTGTATTCTGAACAGTTTAAACATGTTTAAAACGGAGACATGCGTGACGCGTCTAAAATTTGCACCTGCTCCGCTATTATGGAAATTAAACTAACAAGATGAATAACATGAAGTTATTTTAGGCACAGACAACACCTCCCTCACTTTTGATAATCTTGCAACGTGCCTGTTTGCAGGACCTTCCAAGGATAACCATCAACAGGATAATCAAGGCCATATTCAAGACGCCACATTCAAATAAAGACAACAAAGCTGCGTTAACAAGCTTCTGGTTTGGGTTGGTAAACGAAACATGCTAGCTCTACTGAGGAAGCAATGCTAACAATAATATCAAGAGAGTTGGGCTAACATTGAGAGTCTATTTTGTTTCTCTGCTAACACTGTTAGCGTAGCTTCTTCAGTAGAGAGCTAGCATGTTTTATTTAGCAACCCAAAGCAGAAGCATGTATACTTACATTCATAGTTATGAATGTAGGCAGACACAAAAATGTAAAACTTTGTCTTTGTTAGTAGCTGTTGCCTAGAAAATCCCGTGTACTTGTTAATCGTTTTTCTTGGCAGTTTCTGCAGCGATCGCATAAATATGGTATGGAGAACACTAATGCTACTGTGACCCGGAACGGATCCAGCTGGCTAAAAAGTCAGGAAGTGTCAAACCAAGGGTCTGTGGCATATAGCCCAGTGGGTCCTCCCAGCCATCGTACAAACAGATGAGCAGGATGAAGATAATGGTGCAGGAGCTCGATTCCTTAATATTTCACACATGCACCAACCTGCATCGTGAGCTCTCAGGGCAACAAAAAAAAGGGTTGAAAGTGGAATGGATGATGATGATGACAGTGATGATAGGGGGGTGGGGGGGGGGGGGTCTGCTTTTCTTACCTAACTGTGACCTCGTCTGTGAACCTGAGCACACGGTGCGTAAGGATGCTACGGGGCAAGGTGCCACCCCCCTCATGCCTGTGGGGTGGCGGCTTGCTCTTTAGGCATGCAGGAAGGGTGGAGCTGTGCACCAGAAGCCCCGCCCACAGCAGGTGGGAGACACCAGCATGCAAGGTAAAGGTAAAAACAAACAAAGAAAAACAAATGATGCATTCCAAAACAAAAACAGCAGCTGAATAAGTGAAGGAGAAGCATGAAAGCAAAATTCACACCACAACATCTAACATGACGTCTATTTTTCAATATTTAGCTAAAAGAAACAAAAACCTAAAGTTTGAACTGTTGAATCCGCCGGCGTGACGTTCATTATTTATCTATGTTGAAGTTGAAAACTAAAAATAGAGGAAAACGGAGAAATAAAGAAAGTCTGCATACTTGGTTTTGGCTGAACACAAACTAGCTGTTAGCTTATCAGTTCTGAAGGATGTTAATGTTGTGTTTAACACAGAGGTTGTTCAGGAAGCTAAGAGGTTAATGATTCATTTTACACAGAGAAACAGAATATAAAATAATAAAATAAACCCTTTAAGGACTAAAACAAGTAGATGGGCCGAGAGCCTCGGCTGGCTGAAGCAACTAGAAAACCACTCACACCACAGCAACACAAGCAGGTAAGGCCCGGTTCACACGGCAGGATCTTTAAATGGTCAGCTGACTTTTAAAGCATGCGAGACGACACACGTGGTGACCCGAAACTTCATATCAGCTTTGGTCTAACAGTGTGTGGTATACACACACACACACACACACACGCACGCACGCACGCGCACACACACACACACGGTATCTGCAGGTTTAAGGGAGCCACATTTAAGACTTTTTAAGAACTTTTTTAAGGCCACTTTGACCAAATTTAAGCTATTTAAGCAGGGCAGCAGTAGCTCAACAGGTTGAGCGGGTTGTCCAGTAATCGGAAGGTTGCAGGTTCGATCCCGGCTACGGACAGAGAATTCTGCTGTTGTGTCCTTGGGCAAGACACTTAACACACCTCGCCTCCGTCAGTACGCCCCAGGGCAGCTGTGGCTACATCGTAGCTCATCCCCACCAGTGTGTGAATGTGTGTGTGAATGGATGAATGATGCACTGTTGTGTAAAGCGCTTTGGAGTCCTTACTCTGAGAGGCGCTACACAAGTGCGGGTCATTTATCATTTTAAAAAATTAAATTTAAGCTATAATTTCCAGCTATTGCCTGGAACCGGTGCTAACCACATCGTGAACGTGGGATTAGCCATCCAGTTACCATTAAACTTCCACTTCCCCATGGCGCAAGCTCCCACTAGCTTAACCAGCTAACGTGCTCATCTAAAAATAGCCCCCTTCCACAACCAACTGAACGTGTACGGTTCCGCTTACGCCAACGTCGTACACAAAAAATGCTGAAGACTAACTAGAAATTCACGAAAATTTTATAGAAATAAAAGAATCTTGCTTATTGGGTCTTTGTTAATTTAAGACCTCTGGAAACAGTTTTTAAGGATTATTTGTCATTTTTATGGATTTTTAAGGCCTTAAATTTGGAAAAGCTAATTTAAGACTTTTGAAGACTTTTTAAGGACCCGCGGACACCCTGCACACATTTCACTTACGGACTCTCCTCACTCAGACAAGAAATCTTTCGAGATCAAATATGACATTGGAGTAACCAAACATGGTGGAGGAGGAACATGCTGCGCTTCCAAAACCTCAATTCCTGATTGGCTGCCGGTCATGTTCGTTCGCCTCTAAAATTCAGACCAAAACAATCCGACATGTCTGAAAGCCCAGGTTTATTATCGGAGTGGTCCTTCCAAGCAGACCGGAGCATTGATAACACGCCACACGCGGTAAGATATTATCATAAGATCACCTTTAGAGAAACAACAGTAATCCAACACGATCACCCTACCGTGTGAACCGGGCTTCAGCTGAACCGCCAGCTTCACAAATGATTCACGGAAAACAAGACGAGCACAGAGAAGGTCAGAAGTTTTTCTTTCATGTTTGAAAGTCTTACCTGTAAAGGTCTTTATGGATACCGTTTACTAAAAGGGGCATTTTGGGAGGGAGCGTGTTGCTGTATCTACCTATGCTCCTGGTTCAATGAGTAGGAATCATGCACACAGAAAGCAAGACAAGAAAAAAGTGGAAAATACAGAAAATGTCAGAGAAAAACACAAGAAAGTGATGAAAAAAAGGGAAAATTAAACTATCTTCATCTCCTTTTGGGTTAAACATCAGGCTGGTCCTTCCTCTTCTCATATTGTAAGTGTATGTGTGTGTGTGTGCTTGTGTGTGTGAGTGTGTGGTAGCTTTTTCGTTCTAATCTCATGCGAGTGCAGGAAAGCAGGAATAATCAACACATTCCCTTTAAACCGGAGCGTTAAGATGGGTTGTTAAAGTGCGATGGCACTCGTTAGAATAAAGCCCAGTGGCTGTACCTGTTGGTGTGTAGGCACTCAGCACTGCCGCCCCGAATGGACCTGTGCACCTCCAGGACCTCACTGCCATTGCCATGACGATGGGTGAACAGGTGAAAACACAACAGAGCAGGATGGACACTCAGACAAGCAAAGTGAGTTCATGAGTGAAAGAATCCAGGAAATAAGAATTCTGAGATTTCACATCAAACTTAGTTAGTCGTATTAGTGGAATTAGTGTCATAACAATAAATCATACTGTCTAAAATCATTTAGCACTTCTCGTTAGCAGAGGTTCTGCTTATGTAGAGCTAAACACTTCTCCAGGTTCCTCCACTCTGAAGATCCGAGACTCTAGGTTACCTGTCCTCGGAGTACTCGTAGTCCGAGTCGCCGGAACGCTGGCGCTCCAGGGATGGCTCGTGGTACTGTGAGGGAGAGCGGGAATCGTGGCGGTTGTGGTGGATCTCATCCAAACTCCTGATGAAATAAAACATTTTAATGTGAACATCAGCACCTGGATTAAGGCACCTGAGAATGTGACGTCGAGCGTGTGCTGATGTAGCACGTAAAGAAAACTTGTTCCACCAAAAATCCCTCATTTATTTTTATTTACTTATTTAATTATGTGTTTGTATTTTATTTACTCTAAATAATTGTTTTAGGTTCCTTGTTTTTCATTTTAATTGTAAGATTCTCATTTTAAAAGTATATTTTTAGACATTTTGAGAGAAGTCTATTTGGTTCTTTTATTTTGAATGGCTTTATTCTGTGACATCACTTCCTCCCACTCCAGTCGGTTAGGAGCTGTAATGGAGGGAGTTGGAAAATAAAAACGCCGTCAGTTGTGCTGAACCTGAACTTCAGAGTCGATCATCATTTAGTGTTTGGTTGAGTCTGGTTACGCTGAACTAGCTTAGTAGATATCACCGACACACACACGCGCACCAAGGGGGAAACTCCCCATGCCAAAATTGAGGCCAACGCGGAAGTGACACAAATTGCAGTTCCGCCCCTCAACCACTGGGGAATGGCTCAGAGTAAATAGCTATCAACTCCCGTGTCACAAATACAGAAGCTACAGTCAACCCAACTCAGAGAGGGGTGGATTTTTTGCAACTCATCTGTTTGTAATTAAAGGTTAAAATTATGAACAATTAGATTTTGATTGACAGGCAGCAGGAGTCGTCAGAACAAGCGTTAGCGGCTAGCTCTGGGAAAAGCCTCAGACTCATGTTAAAGAGCAAGTCACCCCCTACCAGAGTATTATTCAACTCCCACTTCCTGTTTGAAAAATGCAACAAATGCTGTTGCCTAGCAGACTGAGAGGGCGGAGCCACTAACAAATACACACACACACACACACACACACACACACACACACACACACACACACACACACACACACAGGCTCACAACGACATAGTGACATCATATGGTACTAGCTAACGTTCTAGGGTACCTCTTAGCCAATAGCGATGGCAGATTTAAATTCAAATGCAGTGCAGAGTTTTTACCCGACAACGGCACAACACTGACAGTTTTAGGCAGAATATTTAAATTTGAACTAAAATGCACTAAAGTGCTAAACTATTGACTACACATGTCTGCAGCACGATTAGACACACATTTATATAGTTTATCAGAAAAAATAAGTTGATTTGGGGGTGACTTGCTCTTTAAAAGTGTTCGGCCATTTCTATTTACTGTCGCATTTTTTTTATCGTGTGAAGGTACTCGTGATTTTTATCTTGAGACGCTATAAAAAGATTGCTTCTTCTACATCGAAGCGGTTTAATGGGCATCAATCATCTGCCCACACCCTCACAGCCCCGCTCTAAGCTCCGCCTCTTTTCCCGTTTTTGTATTGTCCGAGAGTGACGGATGCGGCACGGCCAAAGTCTACGGGTGACGTCACAGAGGGTTTGTCCAGTATTCCGTACATTCGTACACACACACACGCACACGTACATGCACACGCGCGCGTGCACACACACACACACACACACACACACACACACACACACACACACACACACACACACACACTGACCTTTGCATGGGCACATGAGCGGGTCGAGATCGAGACCTGCAGGAGTCCTCTCTGTGAGGAGACACCGAACGGGACCGGTGTTGGATGGGACGCTGCTGCTCCGGGACAGCTAACGAACTACCCCGATCTCTGTCCCGGGAGTGACGCTCTTCGCCTACGCACACACATGTAAAGTAAAACACACGCACACACACGCACACAAGTGCAAAAGCATGACACACACAGTCACAGGTTTCAGCATTTAAATAAAACCCAAATGAATCCACAGATGAAAACACGACGGATCCAAGTGCTGCGCTACTCACGACCACTTCGGATGCGAATCCCGTCAAAAGCGCAAAACAAACAACCTGCTGGTCACGCCAGCGTTCACCGACTGTTTCTGCAGGTTTCTGCCAGACCTCAGATCAGGAAAACTTGAATTCCTCATGATGAAATGTCTCGTTAAAGAAAAATATAGAAACATAAAAAGGTCCAGATGCACAGAAGATGCTGCAGCTTTGTTCCGATGTGGAATAAATAGGGATTTTTTAATGTTTTTGAGAACATAAGCAGCCCTGCTCAGACGTTCTGGACCACAAATACTGAATACCTGCATGGACCTGTGTTTAGTAGAAATAAAAAGGTTCTGCTAAAATTATGTCTCTTATCAAAAAACAAAACTGCAGATGGGATTTTTATTCAGCATTGCTTCAAATAATTCTGAATTTCTGATTATTTATAGCAGCTTGTGCTCAGGCATCAGGCTGCTGCTGCAATAAGAAACATCTTTATTTCCAGAAAACGAACCCTTGAATGTGTGCTGTGTTCACTTTGGTGATGTTTTTGTTCCAGACGCAGATGAAGCATGGACTGTTTTCAACTATTTGACAAATTTGGCTTTTTAGAAGGCCCAAAGTGAATTCTGCACATGCATGACTTCATGTCAGGTCCGCGATAGACTGACAGGAACCAAAACCACGGCAGAAACAGCGAAGCAGCTGTCGTGATTAACACAAGTTCATCCTCATTTCGACAGACTGGAAAAAAGCAACCGTCTAGGAATAGAAGCATGCAGGTGGACGACGGCAAACCAATAAAATGCCACGAAGCAGCGCCACGGTCTCACATGCACTCAGTGCTTCGGTGAGTTTACGTCCAGCAGAGGAGGAGAAACGGTTCACTTCACCTCTGAATCTCAGGACTAGTAAGCAGATTTTGGGGTTGATTTGCTGCAAGAAAAACCTCTTCCAGGGTTCAGTTTAAATTATTTGGCTCACAGGAATTTGTTGTGATGATATATAAAAGCCAGGATTCAGTGAGGATGAGAGAAGAAGCTTCTGGCTCGTCGCTGGAGGTGACTACAAGCTACTGCAGGGAAACGTCAGGAACCATGTCCCCCACCCACCTTCAGTCCCACCTATCAAACCATCATCAAAGTCTGTGTCAATGATGCGATGAGACCCTGCACACACACACACACACACACACACACACACACACACACACACACACACACACGGTCAGGGACAGTGGGTTCTGTCTCTCTGTCTCCCACAAAGTTGGCTGCTGCAGACTCAAACACAACTCAAGCTTCTGAATCCATCCCGCAGCATCACAAACTCACTCTGGAGCTTCTTGCTGGGGCTGTCCCCGTGGGCGTGCCGACGTGGAAGGTACGGAGACGGCTGAGGCAGAGGTATGGAGGACACGTCGTGGGTCTGGAGTTTATACCAGTGTGGAATGTCGTCTAACAAGGCAGTCTCCAGCTCGATCAGGATCTAGTGGATCACAAATAAGCGGACGAGAGATTAGAGCGAGACATGTTTGACATTCTGCAACCATTCTCTCCTCTTTTGACTTATCACCGGTGTTGGGCAAGTTACTTCCAAACTGTAATGCATTATTTATTACTTGTTGCCCTCATTTTAAAGTAATTCATTACATTACAATATTACTGATTATAAAATGTAAGGCGTTACACTACTTTTGCATTACTTTAAGTTACTTTCACCAATACAACTTCAGTTTGGATCTGGTCATGTGACGCTCAGTGAGCTCATGACATATATGTGGAAGGTGACGTGGTGTCTGAGCTAGGATTGCTGTTAAAAACAGTCAGATATAATAACAGTGCTTTAAAATGATTGTTTACTAAATAAAAGCAACAACAATCTGTACTCTCAGCACGCTGCCATCTTATATTAACTGAGCAGGGAGTGAGGTGGTGGGGGCTCCAAGCCTATATTTGCCTTGGTCCCCAAATGCCTTGATACGGCCCTGGATGTGGGACTGACTTCTGGGGTGATCTGATTCTATCACATGTATAAATATTAAATGCTTATATATTATTGCTTTTCACTGGTAAAAGTGTGTGTTGGGGATAAATCTACCTACTTTTTTCTTTTTTTCTTGATTTTATGTGAATAATTTCCGGCCCTTTCTCTCTCTAACCTTCCTGCATGCTGCATGTTTTCTCCGTCTTCCAGAAAAACTGTTTGCTAGATTTCCTACTTTCTAACTAATCAGCCAAAGGGATCTACCGAACGCAACAACAAACAAACAAAAAGCTTCACACGCGCTGTGCTCCAGCAGCAATGAGTTGAAATCACCGGGGCACAGATTATGAATCAGCTGAAAAGTACATGAAGTACCAGAGAATATGGGCTGATATAAGCGATCGCAAACGAATGACTTTGTTTTGGTGGAGCGATTTTGTGAATATAACAGCGGCCGCGTGCAGGACGCAGCTGGAGTATTTGAGCCGTTACCACTGCGTCCTCTCTGCTCAGAGAATGCCCGCGAAGCTGAGTCCATAAATGACGTCATATATGTGGATACTGGATCTTTTTTCAGGCTTCCCGCATTTTGAATTTTTAGGAAACCCACGTCTTGATTCTGGGTTTAAAAATGCATTGTAATTATCGCGTTACTGACACTTGTACCGAGTAAATATTACCATTTTCTTTCCCTGTAGTGCCTTACATTACCACATTACAGCAAAAAGCAATGCATTACAGTAATTAATTACTTTTGTACCGCGTTACTCCCAACACTGATTATCAACACAGAGAAATGTCAAAAGAAGAACCACATAATTTGTGCTAAGTTGTGGTGATGCTGAATAAATATGAGATCCTCCAGAAAAGGAGACCTTTGACCCTCAGAATAACAGAGTTTGTGTAAAAGTCCTGAAAGAGTTTTTTCGATTCACATCTGAAAAATGTCATGAATTAAAAAAAAAAAGTTTGGACTTTGATCTTTTAAACTGAAATGAGCTTCCCACATCCATCTCCGCCGCTCTTTGTTGGTTTGGTACAGTTAACAACTGTTTGTGCATTAAAACATCTGCAGGACATGGATCAGTAAGATCTCCATCCATGTTGGTAATAGAAGAGCCCAAACCCAGAGCTGGAGGCAGAAGATTGGAAGCTTTTTGTGATGTTAGTGAAGCTGTATCAGAAACGTTTGCTATGCGTCTCCTCAATTAAAAAGGTCCAGATGACCAGAACCCTTTTGTTGTTCTGTCAAAATGAGCAGAAATGTCCCTGATGTTCCACAAAGGCCACTAGAAGCTTCATCAGATGACAACATGATGAGTAGGACCTTCAGCTTAACCGAATGATTCCATCTAATCTTTGGATGTAACTCACCGACTTTAACCAAAGACTTCAAATAGGGATGCGCCGATACCGATACTGGTATCGGTATCGGCACCGATAAGATACCAATGCCAGTATCGGTATCGGTAAAAGTTAGCCGATACCAATGCAGTTGCTTGAAAATGGCTTCACTATAACTTCTCATTTCTGTTCACCTAATATTTTAGTTTTGTGATGATTTCTATTCATATATTTTACTTTTTATCTACCTCGAAGTCTTTTCCTGTTGAAAGCAGAGAAGAAAATAAAATCTGTATTCCAAATCATTGCCTTTTTTGTATGGTAGAAGTATCGGTATTGGTAATCGTTATCGGCGAGTACTCAGATCCAAGTATCAGTATCGTATCGGTTTGGAAAAAAGTGGTATCGTTGCATCCCTAACTTCAAACACAGGTCATTTGATAGCAGTGGTAAAACACGGCGGAGGCTGCATCATGATTTCTTGGTGCTTCACCCGGAGGTCATAGCTATGGAAGGTTGGTCAACGAAACCAAAAGCAACCAGGAATGATGTGCTACCCACCTCCCCCAGGAATTCACTCTCCTCCTCCTGAACTCGAGGCTGATCCCAGACTGTGATCTCCAGCATGCGCTCCCTGAAGTCCCGCCGGTGAACGTGGGGATACAAGAAGGTCTGGTTCCACTTGGGCTCAGCGCTCTTCTTCACCGTTTTGGTCCGTCGTTTGCTCTTATCGCTGAAACAACAATGTAACAAGTTAAAAATTCCAAACATTGATGATGTCATCAGGATCGAAAAAGAAAATCAATGATCTTACCTCCGATCAGGAAGGAAGTACATTTTGACGTATGGATTTCGGGGTCGGCCGTCCGGTCGGGGGGGCAAATCTATGGCTTGAAGGACGTTGACGATCAGCTGATGGCCGACTTTATCGTACCACAGCTTCACCTGGAACAATGTGCAAAGACGTTCAGCTGTGATGTGAGACCAGATTCTCTCAGATGAACCCGGTTCTTACAGAGAGCTGTCCCGGCACCTCCAGAGGGAGGTCCCGCAGGGTGCCGGGGCTGGTTGGGGACATTACGGATATGGAGGGACGGTCCATCTTCTGTGACTCGAAGGAACTGGAACCCGCTGAAGAATGAATAAACATAAATGGTTTAAAAACAACAAACAATAATGAAATAGTCAGAGGATACACGAAAAACAGGAAACACTGGCAACGCTTACTGGATTCAAGTGGAGGGTGGGGGGATCCTGGAATTCTTGGAATGTCGCTGTGAAAGAGTCAGAATATTCCTTCATTATGTTTCCATTAGTGAAAAATGGCTAAGAAACAAACAGTTTCAAGGTGAAGAGCAGACAAGTGGGTAGAAGGGGTGAAAAATGAGGGGAAAAAATAGAAAAAAAGGGGAAAAAGGGAACAAGTCTATGTATGCATATGTGTATATATGTATGTATATCGTCGTCGTCGTTGTCTTCCTCCGCTTATCCGGGTCCGGGTCGCGGGAGCAGCATCCCAACTAGGGAGCTCCAGACCGTACTCTCCCCGGCCATCTCCACCAGCTCCTCCAGCAGGACCCCAAGGCGTTCCCGGACCAGATTGGAGATGTAACCTCTCCAACGTGTCCTGGGTCGACCCGGGGGCCTCCTGCCGACAGGACATGCCCGAAACACCTCCCCAGGGAGGCGTCCAGGAGGCATCCTGACCAGATGCCCAAACCACCTCAACTGACTCCTTTCGATCCGGAGGAGCAGCGGTTCTACTCCGAGTCCCTCCCGAATGTCCGAGCTCCTCACCCTATCTCTAAGGCTGAGCCCGGCCACCCTACGGAGGAAACTCATTTTGGCCGCTTGTATCCGCGATCTCGTTCTTTCGGTCATTACCCAAAGCTCATGACCATAGGTGAGGATTGGGACGTAGATCGACCGGTAAATCGAGAGCCTGGCTTTCTGGCTCAGCTCCCCCTTCACCACGACAGATCGGCTCCGAACCAATCCGCCTGTCGATCTCCTGATCCCTCCTACCCTCACTCGTGAACAAGACCCAGAGATACTTAAACTCCTCCACTTGAGGTAGGACCTCTCCCCCGACCTGGAGATTGCAAGCCACCCTTTTTGCATGTATATACATAGGTACCGTATTTTCCAAACTATAAGCTGCTACTTTTTCCCACGCTTTGAACGCAGCTTATAATGAGGTGTGTGGCTTTAAAAGGAAGGATGCTGGAAAGGAGCGCTACGGAAAGCGCCCCGGAGGATTTTTTCACAGTAAAACAGCGCTGCGTGTTTTCACCGCTTCACCCCGGGATGTTGACAGCAACACGGAGAGCGACACTGACAAACTACGTTTTCAATTCAGTAGATATCTGCGGCTTTTAGCCCGATGCGGCTTATATTGAGGTGCGCTCAAAGTCCGGAAATTACGGTATATAACTTTATGCTTCTTTCTGTGTAACTTCTTTTCTCTCTTTTTTTCAATTCATGGGTTGAGGTTGTGTCGGCCAACCAGTCCAGAAACTATATTGTTCAAATTTTTAAGAATCATATGATTGTTTCATTTGTATTAATGCTATTTTAGATAAAAGGGGCAGATAACATACGTCTTTCTTCTTTCTGTCCCTTTTTTCATTTTCGCTTTTAGCAATTTAGTTTAGTATTTTTATTTTAATGTCAATAAATGAAAATAAAGTTGGAAAAAAATATAGGTAAAAACTACACATTGCATCTTGAAGGAGCTCTGTCTTGCGTTGGAGTAGCTAATACTAATGGTTAGCTTCTGCGAGTGGAGACAAGCTTTATTCTCTCCTGGATGCTAAATAAACAACAGCCTTTCCCGTCGAGAGCCAAGATGGGTGAGTCCGCGAATGTTAATCTGATAAAAATACGTTGATCTGACTGGCTTTATTAATCAGAGTGTTATGCTGTCTATTTTCTAGTCCTTGCGGCTAATGCAAGGATTAGGGTAGAAGATTATTCTCACATTTAGCCTGCATGTTAAACTCAGAGTGACCGATCATATTTAAAATAATAACAAGTAAAAAACAGTTTCTAGTTCCTCATTATTCACAGGATCTCAAATAGCTGGAATTTCAACCTCATTTGGCTCATTGTGATTCTTTCAAGGCATCAGGAATTCGGGGTTTAGTTAGTAAGAAGAAGCAAAAAGACTTGGGATGGTGACCTGTCAAACCAAGTTGTAATTAATAAAACAGCAAAGAAACAAGCCAAGCTTGTGAAAAACAAGAAGATAAATCGTGAAGAAGTGAAAATGTTAACTGCGATTCTTGAGACAATAAAAGCTCCACAACATGATCACAAAAATCAAACAGTGTTATTGATTTTGCAGTTTTTCATAAAAAAAATCCAATTGTGTTTTAACTAAAATATTTTGAGTTGATTGGATGAGCAATTTTAATTTTAAACTTCAAATGTATGAGTAAAATTTATCAAGAAATTTAATTAATGATAACTTAAAATTTTCAGTATCAAAACTCAAAAATTTGGAGGCAATTGATTGCCTCAAAATTTTTGAGTTCTGGGAACTTATTCGGGTTTACAGTGTACAACATAAAATTAAATAATCTCTCATTTTTGTGTCCCTAACCAGTCACCAGCACTGGGTGAGATACTGGAAGCGAACACCTGTACACTGGGCTCCGCCCCCACTTGACTTACTGACATGCTCTATAAACGTTTCTCTAAAGGTTTTTGTGCATTCAGTTGCTGGAGCTTTTAAATAAAAAAGGAAATGTCAAGCATTTCTGTCAGAATGAAATGAACGTAAAAGTCGTTATTACTCATCCTGATGGTCTCACCCTATTGGACGTGAAACTACAATCTCAACTTGCGGCTCCGCCTTGGATTCGAGAATGATGTTGTACACTTCCTTCTTGGTTGCTCCTGGCAATGACTTCCCGTTCCACTGCAACACCTGGTCACCTGAAAATGTGATGGTGAAGGCTCATTAAACATGTTTTTTATGTAGAGACTAAATGAGTGAAAAACAGGGATGCTCCGATCACATTTTTTTGCTCCCGATCCGATTCCGAGTCATTTGATTTTGAGTATCTGCCGATACCGAGTCCCGATCCGATACTTCAGCAATACAATAAAATAGCAAGAAAAAAGGGAGACTGCACCCAAAATGACCTGTTAGGTTTATTATTATTATTATATTATTTATATGACTGCATCCAACATGATACCATAAGAAAGTAGAAACATTTTGTTAGTGCAGCAGCACTTCAAACCAAGTAAACAAAATTATATCTTTGTAGCCATGGACGTAATTTTCACTTTAGAAGTGGGGGGGACACGGGGGTGGGGGGTATCTTTACAGTATGTTCTAATGGGAAACCGGCTTCAGCACAAACGGTTGTTTTCTGCTTGGTCCTAGAGCTCAACCAGTGTCAATTTAATATAGTGTGATATTGTTTTTGGATGGTAAAAAGTGCAGGGGTCAAAACTTGACTTTGGAAAAAGTGGGGGGGACATGTCCCCCCTGTCCCCCCCCAAAATTACGTCCATGTTTGTAGCTTATCAGTGGTGCAACAATATGTAAACAAATTTGTTTTTATAGAAAAGTAGAAAAGGTTTGTAAAATAACTCAACACAATAATAGAAGTTAAATTAAAGTGCTGACCTCCACCTCTAAGAGGTAGTTGCATAATTCAGTCAGGTAACAAAATAAAATACATCTTAGGCCTTTGACTGACTAGTTTATTAAAACGAACAAAAGATATGCCTAATCAAAGTGGTGTACGAACTTCACCATTCAAGTATAAAACATCAACATCAAGTTGCAAAGAACTGGTAAATCACCTCTTCCATGTGCTCTACATGGAGCTCAACTTTTACTTTAAGGCTCCCAAATAAAGTGCAGTTTAAAATGATTCCAAACCGCTGACATTTTTTGCTCTCCTGGAGCGAGACGAGCATTAACCTGCTAGCTAACTGCTACCTGAATTCCACGGTCCACTTTAAAACGTGTGATGTTACGGCTGCCGTATGGTGTTGTCATGTCGCTATGGAGGAAGTGAAACTTGGTACAAAATTAAGCCATTGTTATTCAATTTGAAACTCAAGATTGATTAAAAATGCCATGCTTGTTGTTTTATAAGGTTAAATCCGATCTTTAACACCCGATTCCGATCTTTTAAAAGTCACGTGCGATCTTTAACACCCGATTCCGATCTTTTAAAAGTCACGTGATCGGGCCCGATTTCCGATCACGTGATCGGATCGGAGCATCCCTAGTGAAAAAGGATCCTTTTTAGTTCAGATTTAATGGAAATTTTTGATCGGTCTTCTATCAGTTGTTGGCATTTTTCATCACCATTCTTTTTGTTCCTTATTCTGTTTCATTGTCTGTTGTCTTCTTCACTTCTACTCATTAGTAACCTGCCCTGCTTCAGTTAATTAGTTCGCCTGTTCTCAGCCAGTAATCGCCCTCAGACGTTGGCCTCAGTTTCTCTTCCTTTTAAATCTACTAAAAAAGGATATGGTGCTCCATTTTAGGGGGTAGAAGTTTGTTGGAGGAGTGGGTGGGGGTGGGGGTGGGGGGGGGGGGAACTGCAGGATTTGGAGTCTTACTCATTAATATTCATGATATGCAAAAGTCTCATGTCTGATTGGCTAAAAGCAACGCGACTCTTCTGTTGCCTTCATTTTTTCTTGGATTAGAAAAATTCAATGTTAATATTTTATCTCCATGAATAACACAAGCCTGAAGGAGTTCTGCAATTAGGCTATCTGCAGGTTTAAGGGAGCCAAATTTAAGACTTTTAAGATCTTTTTTAATGCCACTTTGACCAAATTTAAGCTATTTTTAAAAATAAAATTTAAGCTATAATTTCCAGCTATTGCCTGCATGAAACCGGTGCTAACCACGTCACGAACGTGGGATTAGCCATCCAGTTACCATTAAACTTGCACTTCCCCATGGCACAAGCTCCCACTAGCTTAACCAGCTAATGTGCTCATCTAAAAATAGCCCCCTTTCACAACCAACTGAATGTGTACGGTTCCACTTACGCCAACATCGTACACAAAAAATGCTGAACACTAACTAGAAATTCACAAAATTTTTATAGACATAAAAGAATCTTGTTTACTGGGTCTTTGGTAGTTTAAGACCTTTGGAAACAGGATTTAAGGATTATTTGTAATTTTTAAGGATTTTTAAGGCCTTAAATTTGGAAAAGTTAATTTGAGACTTTTTAAGACTTTTTAAGGACCCGCAGATACCCCTGTGCCATGTTGTGGAGTTGCTAATGCTAACAGTTAGCTTCTCCTAGGTGAGATGTGCTTTACTTCCAATGGGCGGTCCCAAGCAAAGTTTTCAATTCAATTCAAGTTTATTGATGAAGCGCCAAATCACGACAAGAGTCGTGCACATAGTAAACATTCCAATTCAGGTCAGTTCATTAAGCCAATCAGAAATAACGTTTCCTATATAAGGAACCCAGCAAATTGCATCAAGTCACTGACTAGTGTCAGTGACTTTACAGCAATCCTCATACTAAGCAAGCATTTAGCGACAGTGGAGAGGAAAACTCCCTTTTAACAGGAAGAAACCTCCAGAGAATCCTGGCTCAGTATAAGAAGCCATCAGCTATGACTCACTGGTGGTGGGCGGGCCCATTAGCAATGGGTACCAAATTCAGTACTTTTTAAGGTACCGACCGAATTCCATAGTACCGACTGAGCACCGATTCACGTCATTTGAAACGGTGCCTCGTTTCAGTACCCGTCCTTCATAACGAGAACCTGCCAAGACAGCTGCGCATGCGCAAGAGCGTTATGTCGTCGGTCACTGCGAGCCAGTTGTAAACAGAGCAGCATGGTAGAAAGAACGCACGCTAAAGCTTGGGTCCACTTCACTAAATGTGATGGGTAACTGGGTGATGATGAAACCAGCGACAACGATCTAAGTGAGACATCCTCATCTTAATCTGCTCCGGTAGGTAAATAAAATGTTTAAGATAACTTTAGCTTGATATGTTAGCTTCCGTTTCGCTAATGGTGCGTTCGCTTTCTCCTCAGAACTCCGAATTTCCAACTAGAAGAACATGAACTCGCTGTAAAGTTTGGCTTCACTTTACTAAATGCGACGGGTGATTGGGTGAAGATGAAACCAGCGACAACGATTTAAGTGTGAGGCATCATCGTTTTAATCTGCTCCAGCAGCTAAATAAACTGTTTAAGATAACGTTAGCTTGATATGTTAGCTTCCATTGCCACCATTGTTATTAGCTAATGGTGCGTTCACTTTCTCCTCGGAAATTCTAACTTCCCAGTAGGAAAAATCAAAGAAAAAAGACGGCAAAAGGAATGAAGATACACAGTAAATTTAGTTCACAGTAAAGATGTTTGCTTCAGTTTAATTATCAGCATAAAACTACAAGGACGATGTTAAAATACAAACAGTTGAATGTTATTTATCGTGATATTTATCAAATATGGTTATACATTGAGAAAAATATATATTTATTTATAAAAGAGAATTAAAATATTAAACACTCAAAAGTATCTAAAATTGGTACCGTTAAGTACCGGTATTGATTCCTAGGTACCGGCAATTAGTACCGAATCTGTTCAAATGTCAAAGGTACCCATCCCTAGGGGCCATGAATATAAATTTTTCCTGACATAGAAGAGCTTGGCTTTTTCTGACATGATTGTTTTCCCATTAATTTCTTTTCTGCAGCTAATGAAAGTGAAGAGGGTTGATGAACGTTTTCACATTCAGCATGTGCGTGCAACTCGTAGCGACCAATCGTATTTCAGAAAGAACAAGTAGTACATGGTTTCTATGGGATTCTGTCCTTTGCTAACCAGATGAATAGAATAGAATAGAATAGAATAGAATAGACTTAATTGATCCCACAGTGGGGAAATTCACTTGTTACAGCAGCAGCAACACTTAACAGAATATTTTGAAGAAAAGTAATGAAAATGTACGTGTATATAAGCTAGTATTGTAACCTTCGACCACTAAAAACCACAAATACGCATATATGCATACGAACAGCATACTGTAAGGGACTCGGACAAACAGACGAGATGAAGGTCCCTAAAAAACTGAAATTTTACAACCAATCAACCAATCAACCAACCAACCAACCAATCAACCAACCAACCAACCAACCAACCAACCAATCAACCAACCAACCAACCAACCAACCAATCAACCAACCAACCAACCAATCAACCAACCAACCAACCAACCAACCAACCAACCAACCAACCAACCAACCAATCAATCAATCAAAGCTTTATTTATAACCAATTGTTTTGGTTCAACTTCTCAAGTTTACAGAGAATTTAAGGTTTCAAATCAACCACGTGAATCCAACAATACTGTTAGAAATTCATAAAAAACAAAGTATTAACCAGAAATTCACCTGCACGTAGGTGTCCAACAACATCTGCAAGGCTGCCCTTTTTGACTTTGGTGATGAAGGCCCCGAGCCGTCCCGTGTGTGTCATCTTTCCTCCCACCACCTGCACATGAAGGTGAAGAAGCATTGTTTTAAATAACAGAAGCTCTAGTTTAGGGCAGGGTTCACCCTTTAAGCTTTGGCTTACTTTTAGACCCAGGAGGGAACCAGCCTCACGGGGCACGGCTGACCTCTTGCTCAACGTGATGCGCCCTATCAGGTGGTCGCCCTCTTTGGACGGCTGCCACGTAACCGGATGCTGCAGGAGCAGGAATAAGTGAGAGCAGCAGAGGAGAGAGAGATGTTGGGGAATAAACTGACTAAATGTGATGTCAGATGCATGTGGCTGGGCTGTTTTATTTTTTGATTCCTCCAAAAATGAGTTAAATGCTTAAAAACTTACATGCCAAACAGCAGGATCTAAAGGGTGGCAGTCCAAGTCTCCTGTGGAAATAAAGGGATGAAATCAGTCTTTGCTGTGATGCTGGCAGCAGAGTCAGGTTCAACCTGTTGCTGATTATATCTGTAAATGTTATTTTGTGGTTTGGAAGCAGTGATGGCGTTCTGAAGGCCTGGACAAAAACAAACAAACAAAACCAACAACTTTTTAATGTTTGCATTTCAATCAAATAAACAAACCTGGACTTTCGCGGTACAATGTCCTGGAAGAAAATAGAAAACAAGACTGGGAACGCTCAATGCCCCCAAGCTGACATGTAGGGAAAATAATAATTAAAATGAGTTTGAAAACAACAATCGGCATCTCACCTGTACACCTACAAACGCTCTAGGAAGGTGTGGGTATCACATTTGACCAGTAATCTGACCTAATAAAACAAGCTAACATTAGCACCAGCTATTAGCAACATCACTTAATTTTCTGGAAGCCAGAGAAACAAGTGGCAGTTGAAGTCGGACGTTGCACTTGAACTCTACGACAGCCCTTTTCCTTTCTACCCATGCTTAGTTACGCTATCAAATCATAGAAAAGGGTGCCCCCTAGTGGTGCTACCTAGCATGACGCCAGCACATCAGAGGCGGTTTTAGAGCGTGGCTACTTAGGTTCAAACCTCGGATGTTTTTACTTTTGGCGTAAAAAAACGGTAAAAACAAAATCTTTTTGAAATCATATGTCGTACCAACATCCACCAGAGAGGGCACAGCTGCGCAGAGCTGGTCTGCCAGTCTCCCCCGAAGAAGCGCTTCAGCAGCCTGCATGCTATGCCCGCACCCCTCAACCTCAGGTATCTTTCCTGAGACACTTTACCAGAGGAAACGAGAGAGCGCTAAACACCAGTCTCTGTTTTCTAGGTCCAAACGTCATTTGTTGTCTGTGACTTCAAATGGTGGTTTTCTTTTTGGGACTCTGGTAGTTTGTCCTAAAGCTGAAGTGGCAGCAGCCGGCCGTTTCTCCTCTGATATTAGAGAACCTCTCACTCCAGCGGTGTTCTGTTGCTGAATACACACGTGTGTGGGTAATGATTGGAGGATGCAGGGAAGTGTGGAAGTGAGGCGGTTTGGCGAGACCAACAGCCAGATGGTCCGATGGTTGCATTCGTTCCGAAACGTATTATTGGCAGAGGTTTTTAGACAAACGCAAGAGATCCACGTCATTAGTTTTTTTAATTACTTTGTTAGAACTAGGGCTGTAGCGAAGCCTCGACGAAGTCGACGGCTCGATTCTAAAAATTTGTCGACGTCGGATCCGGAAGTCGACGCACCGCGCCCACTTGTTGCATCCCCAGGAGTTTGTAAATAGAGGAGGAATCTGCCTGTTTTTCCTGTAGTTCGCCCTCTTCTCCGCCTTCACTAACATCTCCGCCAAATACCGAAGACCCGGAACAACGTCCGTCCACTACTAGATTATTTTCTTGTTTTGCCCCTTCGTCTCCCGGCAACGGACAACAACTTCCGGGGTCAGATGCGCTGCTTCATGTCTATCGCAGATGTAGGACATCACCGGGAGCGTTTCTCCCTTCATAAAGGAGCTTCTTTCAGACATGAGGAGAGCTGTTTTGGTGGTAGCAGTCTCTCCTCCGTGCTGGTCTGTTTGCTGCTGGGTGTTTTTGGTTTATTTAGACTTGGTAACTTGAACTTAATGTTGGTAAAGCTACTGTTAGCATCTTCGCTAACAGCTTCTTGCGTTGGGATAAGCTGTTACGTTTTGGTTTAGAGTTAATCTTTTTTGTGGTGTAGATCTCCCTTTTATTACATTTAGAGTGTTGTGGGTTTTCGGTTTAGTGTAAAATATCACCTGAGTTTGGTTTAACCCGTAACACCACTCGCCTCACGCACATAAGTGACCAAAACAAAGCAGCATGGAGACACCATCTTCTACCACCTCTCAGGCAGCAGCCTGCACTCCCAAGTTCTACACGTCACCAGAACATAACCAACCAACACAATAAAAGCAGTGTTATACAAAATGGAAGGCCTGTAGTGTTTATTCTCTTACAGTAAGAATTTATCAATTTTTTTGAGGAATTTATTTGAGATTTTCTGGTTTTTGTTAATTGTGCAATAGAAAAATAATCATTAGATTAATTTTCTAAATAGTCATTAGAATAGTCGACTATTCGATAAAATAATCGTCAGAACAATCGTTTTAAAAATAATCGTTTACCCCCAGCCCTAGTTAGAACGTTGTTAAGAGGCATGAACATTTTCTAACCCTTTGATGCATGAATTATTAAATCTTCAACCATGATTTTTTTAACAATTTTTTTCATTCGTCTTTAGGTGTGAATGAAACAAATTTCAACAAATATTTTTTGTAGAATTTTATAATTTACAAATAATTTATTACATGTCCACCTCAGTGGACAGCGTGCATTCTGAACATGAAATATGTTGGCTTGGCTTACTGAAGTCCAAATGGAGGGGTTCAAATGCAATAAAGTCTTCAGCAGCTGTGCTTAATAGCAAAAACAAATAAATAAGAATTTTGAGTTCCTGTCCACGGTAAATGGTAAAATGGTAAATGGTCTGTATTTGATATAGCGCCTTCTAGAGTCCTGGAACCCCCCAAGGCGCTTTACAACACAATCAGTCATTCACCCATTCACACACACATTCACACACTGGTGGGGATGAGCTACAATGTAGCCACAGCTGCCCTGGGGCGCACTGACAGAGGCGAGGCTGCCGAGCACTGGCGCCACCGGTCCCTCCGACCACCACCAGCAGGCAACGTGGGTTAAGTGTCTTGCCCAAGGACACAACAACAACGACAGACTGAGCGGGGCTCGAACCTGCAACCTTCCGATTGTGAGGCGAGCACTTAACTCCTGTGCCACTTAACTCCTGTGCCACCGTCGCCCCGTCACCGTCGTCACGGTGGTGACCGTTATGCATCAAAGGGTTAAGCTAATTTGTTTTCCAGAGTTACGATTGCAGCTTGAAATGGCCGAGGAACACGTGAAACAGATGAAGGTATAATTAGCAAATGAAAATAAAGGACTAAATTACTCATTTAATTTAATAAGTATATATAGAATTCATTATTTGATAATTGTACTTGTTCAGGTTTTGTTATAACCTCCCATTAGACGACAAACTGTCAGACATACGACCCTACCCGAAGCATCAGGACAGAGCCGAATCACTTCCTGTTCTGAGCTGGAGTGTCTAAAACAGCTAATAATCCCAATCCACACCACCTACACATGACCAGTCCCTGAGTTTTAGTAATCTGGATTAAAGCAGCTGGAACGGCCACTTTCTGTGAGCGTGATAAGCTGATAGAGTGCTTCCTAACCCCCTCTGCTGCCTCCTGAACGCACAAATGACAGGACGTCTGATTTCAGCAGCACCACGCTGCTTTTCTGCCAGAAGCAGGAAAAAGGCGTCGGCTCCCAGAGAGCACTGTAAGCCCAGTCGGTTCAGGGTGGTCCGTGCTCGGCTGCTGCAGCTGGATGTCTGCGGAGCGTTACGTAGTCAGCGAGCCACTGACCTAATTCCACAAATCTGCTGGCCTAAATCACCGGGACTCTCCAAATAAATGAGCGCTGTCCTGAGAGCAGCAGGGTTTATCCACAGCACAGAGGTGTAGATGACAAACAGAGACGAGAGTTTAATCTGCTGCTACTGGGCCGGGAAGACTCATTACCTCAGCTTTAGGCGTTGGGATGGGGGAGAAAGAATTTGGTGTAGACACTGCTAGCCGACGGTCCTTCAATGACCGGAGCGGCCGGGTCATGACGTAAGCCTTTGCGAGAGGATTCAGGTAGAGGGGAGCCGTACCATCCAGGACTTTGTATGCTAGTGCTAGCAATTTGAATTTGATGTGTGCTGCTAGCGGTAGCCAGTGGAGCTACAGAGGGGTGACGTGTGCTCTTTTAGGCTGACTGAAGGCTAGACGCATGATAAAAGGACAGTAGTGGTATCGTAGACTGTCCTCTAAACCAGAGATGGCATACTGGTGAAGGTTCTCGGTCATTCGGGTCATGGTAACCCAAAACGGTTCAAATGAAGGCAACTGGACTTCTTTGGTAGCCTGGCAAGCTATTATTTAGTCTGGCAACGCTCCATTGACGGCTCTCGGTTGTGGGGCGGGTTCTACCGTTGTCTTTCAAATGATCTCCGCATTCCACTGGACAATGAATGTGACGTACTCTTGTTTCACTCTGTTGCATCATCCCACCCACCAGGCATATAGAGTGCCCTGATTGGCCCACAAAGCGGATAAAGCTCTGAGATTTGTTCACTAAGCAGATAGAGCACTATGATTGGCCCACCATTATGGACCAATCACAGCTCTTTATGTGTTTGAAACCCCTCTAGAGAGCTGTGATTGGCTAGCCAGAGTCCTGGTAGGAGCTGCGGAGGTTCCAATGGAGCATGCCTTCTTTGCAAAGCAAGAATTTGGTCTAGTTCACTAGGCTACTTCTTTGGTTTACTTGAAGATGTTTTGCTTCTCATCCGAGGAGTTTTTTCAGTTCTGACTGGAATATGAGCGAGTCAAGCTGCAGCTGTCTAATGTTGTTTAATGAGCAGAAACTACTCTGAACGCCCCGCCTCGCTACCCTCTGATGAGCCGTTAGCCTCTACGGAGAGAGCGTCGTGTTGATTAGATGCAGGAAGGTGTGACCTGGACGGAAACTGCTTAGGAATGAGATTCAAAGCTTGGAAAGGTGAGGCCTAGGCCCTCCTCCCCCATTTAAAGTAGGTTCTCCACATTTGAGAGAGGAGTAAAGGAAGCCATTTATGCCCCAAATATGGGGTGCGTGATGCAGAGATGGACGTGAGGGCTAACCCCCAAATTCCACTACCTCCGCTCCGCTGCGCTCCGGTCCGCCCCCGCCTTCCGCAGCCGCTCGCTTCCGAACTCAATTTTTGCTGATACCCGCTCTACAACGGCTCCGCTCCGGTGCGGAGACCTGAGGTGGGCAAACAAGCATGCGCGGGATTTTCGAGATCTTGCGATACAGTCCGAGCAATAAACGCGGAAGTTAGATCCAAACACCCGTTGTGTGGGAGAAGCATCGACATGAACTGTTTAATCTGCCCATCATTTGTGTTGAGAGATCAGCAGTGTTTGGATCAACAAAGTGTGACTACTTTGATAGTAGAAACTGTATTTATGGCTTAATTTTGTGCATTTAAACTTCAGCCGCCAATGATAGTTGTTAAAAGTTGTTAAACCTGTGCATACGAAACAAAAAACGCCTTTTGTTTATCGATTTATTGTGAAAAACGGAAATTGTGCTCGCTCCTTTTCCTGTTGGGCGGTTGTGATTTCTGTCCATTTACTGTGGAGGTGCTCTGGCGTCCGGCGAAAATAGGATCGATTCTATTTTTGCCGGACGCCGGAACAGAGGGCGGCGCACGGCGCCGCACTGCCGGAGCACGGCCGCAGTAGTGGAATTGCTCTGATTGACTACAACGGGACCGATTTTGCTCCGGCGTTCGTGTCGGAGCGGAGCGGAGGTAGTGGAATTTCGGGGTAACGGCGAACAGCTGCAGGTGGAGACGGGTCTAATGTGATAAATGATGACAGCAAACACATCAGGCAGGTTTAGTGGACATCTGTCTGACTGACCTTTCTCGCTGACGCTTTCCATGTCCACGTCCTCACAGCTGGTGTACTCGGGCGTGGAGCCGCCCTCCTCCTCTGAGCTGCTGATGGACATCTGCCTCTTGTTGATTCCTCGCTTGCTCTTGTAGGACCGCGGCGGGGGCGGCCGTAAAGACTCTGACGGATCGGAGCTCTGGGAGTTCTTCCTCAGAAGATTATCTCCACATTTGTCCCGAGCGGAACCATGCTCCAGGTGGCTGCTGTTCTGGTTCTGATCAGGAGGCCCAGGACCTCCAGGTTGGGGCCCTGATCGACCTCCTTCTCCAGCAAGTGGAGGCCCACCTCCCATTCCCACGGTCCTGTCTCCAGGAAAGGCTCGGCGGTTCTCAGGGTGGGCTTTGCGGTCCACCTCCCCATAGCTCCTCTTAGCCAGGTGGTTTTCAGGCACCTGACCTCCACCGCTTCCCTCATTCTGACCGAGCCCCACCTCATTGATGGCGAGATCGCTGTGTCTCCGTTCGTGCCGTACCTTGGATACCTTGGCATGCATCCGCATCTCCTGCTCCTCCTTCTGCGGTTTTACGGGATATCTTGCCAGGTTGGGGTCGCTCCGGTAACGATTCTGGAATTCCTCCTCACAGCGCTGTCTCTCCCTCTGCTCTTCATCCTCTGGGCGTCTCCTGTGTGTCCCTGAGCGTCCCAGGTTCTCGTTTCCATCTTCATAGTCCTGAGAATTGATCTTCTCCAGCCGGCGTCCACTCCCAAACCGTCTTTCTCCTTTGTCTCCAGGAACTGAGCGCTCGTCCAGTGACGACTGGGACTGAAGCTTCCCAGCAGGTCTGCGACCGCTGCCGCGTCCCGTTCCCCCTCTACCGTTCTGCTCATGGAGAGAAACGGGCCTTTTCCTGGGAAAGAGGAAGAATTAAGATCACATTAGGAGTGAGATTATCGGGGATTTTCTGTCCTTCTCTGGAATTGCATTCACCAAACAAAGATGGATGGACCCCCTCATCACCACCAGGCTGATCTAGAAACCGAGTCTGCTCAGTTGATTAAAAATCAGATTTAGCTCAGACAAACGTCTCAGTCTTCTCTAGAGGACACAAAGCTATGGGACATCTGAGACAAAGTTGTTAAATTAGGATGTGCAGGATAAAAAAAAGAGTAAGGAGGTGTGAAAGTTCTCTTTTCAGCAGATTTATGGGATTTTTCCAGCTTCCATGACGACATTTAATTAAAACTAAAGGAAAATTTCCCAAATTCTCTTTAAAACCCATTTTCTTACCTTTCTGAAAGTTATTTTCAACTTCAACTAGGGTAACCGGTGTAGCGGTAAACCCCGGTAAAAAAGTTGACAATAATAATAACCGTCTTGTTTTATAAAAACTATATTATCTCGGTGGATTAGCGTGGCTGCGGTGTAGGCGCGGTGACCCTTACCAGCCACCGTATCATCTGCTGAAGCTGCCGGTGGCACATGCGCACTTTGTTGTTTACAACCAAAACTTTCTTGAAGCTAAAGCTGAAATAATGGCCAAAGGAGGAGACGGCAGCGCTCAGGACATTTATTATCCCTCAAAGAAGACAAAGTGGGAAGTACGGGCATCTTTTGGATATTTGAAGAATGCCGAGGGACAGGTGATAGAAGACGGCTATCCTGTTTGCAGCACGTGCAGAAAAAGTGTTTGTGAAAGGCAGCAACGCTTCAAATCTCATGACACATCTGCGTGACCATCACCCACAACTCTACAGTCAACGCAAGGCAAGCTAACGTTAGCGCTTTAGCTAAAATGTGTGATCCGAGGATTTGGGTTGAGGGAGAATGCAACGAGTCGCTATATAAAGCAGCCGCAGCGCCGCTACCTGCATATAAACCGTGTCGCGGACACCGCCATGTTGAAATGACGCTATGCATTACGGGGCTCCCAGGGGCAGATAAGAGTTGGTCTCTCTCCGAGAATAATTATGAATTTAACAACGATTACTGCCTGATGACATTTTCCCACATCTGCAAAGCTCACTGGAAGGACACAAACCGAGGACAATATTTTCCTGATATAGGGTTTATTACTCAAGTAAGGGTAAAAAAGTATCTGATTAGAAGGCTACTTGAGTACTGAGTATCATCTGGTCTAATATTTTTAAAATGATGACATCAAACAGACAAAAAATAAGAAGTTATGGGCAAATATTGGTATTTAAAGACTAAAGGGGAAAATGTAAACAAATAAACAACATAATTACTAAATAACACATTTTAGGCTAAATTTTTACACAAACCGAGGACAATATGTTCCTGATATAGGGTTTATTACTCAAGTAAGGGTAAAAAAGTATCTGATTAGAAGGCTACTTGAGTACTGAGTATCATCTGGTCTAATACTTTTAAAATGATGACATCAAACAGACAAAAAATAAGAAGTTACGGGCAAATATTGGTATTTTAAAGACTAAAGGGGAAAAATGTAAACAAATAAACAACATAATTACAAAATAACACATTTTAGGCTAAATTTAGACACAAACTGAGGACAATATTTCCTGATATACAGGGTTTATTTAGTTGTCTGAAAATGTAACACGTTTAAAAAAATACCGCGATAATACCGAAAACCGTGATAATTTTGGTCACAACAACCGTGAGGTTACATTTTCACACCACAACAACCCTAACTTCAACGACTGACTAAATTATTCTACATGAACTACAGATTAATCAAGTAAAAAGTTAACTTTATGCATTTATTTGTTTATGAGTCTAAAGCCCATCTTACTTTTCTCTGGGTGGCTCGCTTTGGGAGCGAGAGCCCGGCATGGCGTGGCCGCCCTTGGCAGCGGTGACTCCGGCTGGCGGCGCCGTGTTGGTGCTGGGGGGCGGGGCTTGGGATTTGGAGCGGAGTGGCTTCCTCTCTGGTTGAGCCTCACCTCTGGAGGGCGTATCGTTCAAGGAGGTGCCGAGGCTCCCGGGCCGCGCCCCTGACCCAGAAAACCATTCTCCTGACTTGGTGAGAATCTCTTGCTGCTTACGGCAGTGGTTGCAAACCCACATTACCTGTACCGGTGACAAGGACACAGGTGTTTGGTGAGGAGGGACTCATCACAGGAGGAATAAATACAGCATAAAAACATAAAAGGAGGATTCATTTGAACAGTTTTCTAATTAAAAAATAAGCGTTTCTGTTATTTTTTTTTTAGCTATTATGACACACAGCTCTATGTTCCCCAGATTTAAACGTCTCTGTGGCCATTTTCACCTCATTTCTTTGCTTTAGCTAATAAAATATTACATTCCTGACGAAATTATCTGTTAAATCACAGATTAACAAAACCTGATTATGGAGATAATTTGTTTTCAACCCAGACTGCACTGAAAAAAAAAAAACACGTTTAATCATGTTGGTTTTGGATGAATCCATATTTAGTTTGGTGATACCGTAAGAAAGATTTTGGTGCCATATCTGGCAGAAACAGGCCGTATCCACTCAGCACCTTCAGCTCTTCATGTCTTTTACAGGGCATCTTCACGAAGGCACAATTGTGATTTAAGACGAGTCAAAAATAAGGAAAATGAATCTCTTTGCCCTCCAAATGAAAACAGCAGAAATCAAATACTCACACGTAGCCATGGCTACTGAGTTTCACCTCCGTTTGGTTGCACAAAAACAGGATTTATCTCCCTCCCCGTCTATAATCCCAGCGGTTTTATTTGGCTAAGAATAAATCCAAAGCAGCGAGTGAACGAAGCGGTCCTTTTCTGCTCAGCGTCTGAAATTCTGCATGAAGACAAAGTGCCTCCTCGGCCTTGGAAACTCCAAAATGTTACTCTTGACAGCCAGCGGGATGCACTTACCGGTGGCTTTAGCGGCTTGCCTTCAGCACGCCAGCGCACATTCATCATGGCCTGATTGAATCCCGGTTGGCGCATGTCCAGACTAATCTGGAGTAAATCAGCTGCTCACACAGCCCACAGCTGTCAGGCAGCATCCTGACTTCATACTACCATCATTTTCTGTATCTTCTCTCTCTTCTGCTGCAGATTAGCAGCAGCCAGTTAATCCATTCAGCTTCTCACCATCAACATCTGACCCAATCCCAACCCAACACCAGATCACAATCCCACACTTCCAAGACTTCCGCTTTCATCCAGTTCTACATGTTTTGGGACTTAGAGCTGCTAAACTGAGAGGCTGGTTTGAACTTATCGACCCGGGAAACCTGAGCCCCCCCCCCCCCCCCCACACACACACACACACCCCCCCACCCCCCACACACCCCCACACACACACCCACCCACCCACCCACACCCCCCCCCCCCCCCCCCCCACACACACACACACACACACACACACCCCTTCCCACTATATTACAGACTGTCCAGGAACACCGGCCAGTTCAAAGGATTATTTGTCATCTGTGTGTGTGTGTGTGTGTGTGTGTGTTTGCGTGCGTGTGTGTGTGTGTGTGTGTGTGTGTGTGTGTGTGTGTGTTTGCATGTGTGTTTGTGTGTGTTTGCGTGCGTGTGTGTGCTTGCATGCGTGCGTGTGTGTGTGTGTGTGTTTGCATGTGTGTTTGTGTGTGTTTGCGTGCGTGTGTGTGTGTGTTTGCGTGCGTGTGTGTGTGTGTTTGCGTGTGTGTGTGTTTTGTGTGTTTGCGTGCGTGTGTGTGTGTGTGTGTGTTTGCGTGCGTGTGTGTGTGTTTGCTTGTGTGTGTGTGTTTGTGTGTGTTTGTGTGTGTTTGCATGTGTGTTTGTGTGTGTTTGTGTGTGTTTGCTTGTGTGTGTGTGTGTGTGTGTGTTTGCATGTGTGTTTGTGTGTGTTTGTGTGTGTTTGCTTGTGTGTGTGTGTGTGTGTGTGTTTGCATGTGTGTTTGTGTGTGTTTGCATGTGTGTTTGTGTGTGTTTGCGTGCGTGTGTGTGTGTGTGTTTGCGTGCGTGTGTGTGTGTGTTTGCGTGTGTGTGTGTTTGTGTGTGTTTGCGTGCGTGTGTGTGTGTGTGTGTGTTTGCGTGCGTGTGTGTGTGTGTTTGTGTGTGTTTGCGTGTGTTTGTGTGTGTTTGCGTGTGTGTGTGTTTGCGTGTGTGTGTGTTTGCGTGTGTGTGTGTTTGTGTGTGTTTGCGTGTGTGTGTGTGTTTGTGTGTGTTTGCGTGTGTTTGCGTGTGTTTGCGTGTGTTTGTGTGTGTTTGTGTGTGTTTGCGTGTGTGCGTGTGTTTGCGTGTGTGTGTGTGTTTGCGTGTGTTTGCGTGTGTTTGCGTGTGTTTGTGTGTGTTTGTGTGTGTTTGCGTGTGTGCGTGTGTTTGCGTGTGTGTGTGTGTTTGCGTGTGTTTGCGTGTGTTTGCGTGTGTTTGTGTGTGTGTTTGCGTGTGTGTGTGTGTTTGCGTGTGTTTGTGTGTGTGTTTGCGTGTGTGTGTGTGTTTGTGTGTGTTTGCGTGTGTGTGTGTGTTTGTGTGTGTTTGCGTGTGTGTGTGTGTGTTTCTCCTAATTTCCTCTAACTGCTCCACTTCCTTCATTCCTCTATCTTCTATCCTTTCCTTCTTCTTTTTCTCTCCAACCTCCCGTAGCAGTTTTTAAAAATATTTTCTCTTTTATGTGACTTTTTTTAATGATTCTCTCCATTTTTCCACTTCTTATCTTATTTTCTTTATTCTTGTTTCTTTTCTAGCTGTTTTGTCTTTGAATTGCATTTTGTTATATTAGTATTTTTTAATTTTAACCTAGTTTTTATTATTTTTGTAGCTTTTCTTGGTTTTTAAATTCAGTTTTTTACTTGTTGTTTTTACTTTAGTTGTTTTCTCCTATTTTTCCACAACTGAAGTTTTCGGTTTCATCCTGGTTGTCTTGTTTCAGTTCCCTCTCTTATTTATCATTTGACATCTTTGAATTTTTTTATACTTTTGACACGGTTGCATGTTTTATTCTTTCTCCTTTCCCCCATTCTCTTTTCATCTTGTCCTTGTTTTCTCTCATCACTCCTTTTCTATAATTTTCTTTCCTTCCTCAGTTTTACTTGTTTTCCTTTCATCTCCTGATGCCTCCTGGCTGTATCTGACCACACCTGGCTGACTTGACAAATGAAGACAGCTCACAGCTGTCAGTCAAGTGTCTGTTTTCCAACCCAACCTCCATCATCTCCCATCCCTGGGCTTCCTCTTCCTCCATCCGTCTCCTGGAAACACGGCACGGTGGAGAGAAAACCATTTATTCAAACTCTAAATGTGAGCATCAGCTTTTCCTTAAGGGGACAGAAAGCATGGGAGGAGACGCAAACATACACACACACACACACACGCGCACACACACACACACACACACACACACACACACACACACACACACACTGAGGGTGACATATGAGACTGCTCTGGGTGTAAGCTGTCATGGCTGAACATCCATCCATTTTCATCCGCTTATCCGGAGTCAGGTCGCGGGGGCAGCAGCCTAAGGCGAGAGGCCCAGACTTCCCTCTCCCCAGCCACTTGGGCCAGCTTCTCCGGGGGAATCCCAAGGCGTTCCTGGCCAGGTGAGAGACATAGTCCCTCCAGCGTGTCCTGGGTCTACCTTTAGGCCTCCTCCCAGTTGGACGTGCCCGGAAAACCTCACCAGGGAGGCGTCAAGGAGACATCCTGACCAGATGCCCGAGCCACCTCAGCTGGCTCCTCTCAATGTGGAGGAGCAGCGGGTCTACTCCGAGCCCCTCCCGGATGACTGAGCTTCTCACCCTATCTCTAAGGGAGAGCCCAGCCACTCTTCGGAGAAAACTCATTTTGGCCACTTGTATCTGCAACCTCGTTCTTTCGGTCATTACCCAAAGCTCATGACCATAGGTGAGGGTAAGAACGTAGATCGACCGGTAAATCGAGAGCTTCGCCTTCTGACTCAGCTCTCTCTTCACCACGACAGACCGGTACAACGCCCGCATCACTGCAGATGCAGCACCAATCCGCCTATCGACCTCACGCTCCAGGTTTCCCTCACTCGTGAACAAGACCCCGAGATACTTAAACTCCTCCACTTGGGGCAGGACCTCATCCCTGACCCGGAGAAGGCATTCTACCCTTTTCCGAATCAAGACCATGGTCTCAGATTTAGAGGAGCTGATGCTCATCCCAGCTGCTTCACACTCGGCTGCGAACCGTTCCAGTGAAAGCTGAAGATCACGTTCTGATGAAGCCAACAGGACCACATCATCAGCAAAAAGCTGACCTGGTCCTCAGGCCACCAAAACGGATGCCCTCCACACCTTGGCTGCACCTAGAAATCGTGTCCATAAAGGTTATGAACAGAATCGGTGACAAAGGGCAGCCTTGGTGGAGTCCAACTCTCACTGAGAATGAGCCCGACTTACTGCCGGCAATGTGGACCAAGCTCTGACACCGGCCATACAGGGACCTAACAGCCCGTATCAGAGGGCCTGGTACCCCATACTCCCGGAGTACCCCCCACAGGGCCCCCTGAGGGATGCGGTCAAACGCCTTCTCCAAATCCACAAAACACATGTAGACTGGTTGGGCAAATTCCCACGCACCCTCCAGGATCCCCCTAAGGGTACAGAGCTGGTCCAGTGTTCCACGGCCAGGACCAAAACCACATTGCTCCTCCTGAATCTGAGGTTCAACAATCCGATGGACCCTCCTCTCCAGAACTCCTGAATAGACCTTACCAGGAAGGCTCAGGAGTGTGATCCCCCTGTAGTTGGAACACACCCTGCGGTCCCCCTTTTTAAATAAGGGGACCAGCACCCCCGTCTGAAAGTCCAGTGGGACTGTCCCCGATGTCCACGCGATATTGCAGAGCTGCGTTAGCCAACGCAGCCCCACAACATCCAGAGCCTTAAGGAACTCCGGGTGGATCTCATCCACCCCTGGAGCCTTGCCACAGAGGAGCTTTTTAACCACCTCAGTGACCTCAGCACCAGAGATTTGAGAAACCAACCCAAAGTCCCCAGACTCTGCTTCCTCACTGGAAGACGTGTTGGTGGGATTGAGGAGGTCTTCAAAGTATTCTGCCCACCGATCCACAACGTCCTGAGTAGAGGTCAGCAGCACACTGTTGGTAGCGC